TGGTAGTGGTAGTGGTAGTAGTAGTAGTCTTAGTACAAGTATTCGTCGTCGTCGTAGTACTAGTAGTAGTAGTAGTAGTAGTAGTAGTAGTAGTAGTACAAGTCGTAGTAGTAGTAGTAGTTGTAGTAGTAGTCGTAGTAGTGGTAGTAATAGTAGTCGTCGTCAGCGTAGAAGTCATAGTATATGTCTTACCCGTATTTGAAGTAGCAGTCGCAGTAGAAGTCGTAGTAGTAGTAGTAGTAGTAGTAGTAGTAGTCTTAGCAATAGTTGAAGTAGTAGCAGGTGTAGTGGTAGTAGTAGTAGCTGTAGGTTAGTAGTAGCAGTAGTAGTAGTAGTAGTAGTAGTCGTCGTAGTAGTAGTAGTAGTAGTAGGAGTGATAGCAGTTGTAGCAGGAGTAGTTGGTGTAACAGCAGCCATAGTAGTAGTATGTATTATCATCACGAAGGGAGGCGCCTTCAACATGGAGCCTTTGGCTGGTGACTTTCGTGCCTTGCTTCAAGATCTTTCCCCAGGGTCGGGGGCATGGCTTTGGGCGTGGCGCGGGCGGCGCGGGGGCAAGACGGGAAAAAGGGCACGGTGCCGCGCCTCTGCCGGGATGGCCACGCCGGGGTGGAGACGACGCGGTTCATGGATGCAGAGGGGGGCCCCAGCGTGTCGCCACGGCTGGATTAGCCTCGAAGGCTTGGTCAGCACGCGCCCAAGCGGAGGTCCGGGGAGCAGCGGTAACGGTATTTGTTTCGCTTCCACCCCGCAGATTGCGGGATCGGGCTGGAGCTGGCGCGGGTTTTGGTTCATGCAAGGGCGAGTAACGGCGTCAAGGTGGAAGAGCCGGAAGCGAGAATGAGGAGAGATCCAGCGGGGAGCTATTTGGGAAAGCGCGAACCCATTCTGGATGATTGGGGGACGGCGCTCATGAGAGATGCTCGCAAGGAGCAGTTGCGGCTAAGCTGGTGTGTCCCAAGTGTTTTTGGCGATGTGAGCTTGTTGTGCTTATTTTGTCGGGTGCAAGTTGATCGCTCCAGCCATGAAAGCCCAGTGCAGCGGCAGAGGATGCATGTGCAAGTTCGCAAGTTCATGAAGGGACTCGGCAGCCAAGCGTCAAGCTCCACTGCGACCCTTCGGCCACGGCTTCGTCTGGCACAGGGCTAGGTAGATATTGACCTCAAGCGTAGTCCGGTGCAGATCCCATCCTCTCCACGTTTGCGACGGAATAGGTCGATCGGGACCGAATGGTTGGTTGAAATCCCCCGCCCGAGGAGCACCTTATGGTCACCCTCTGCCACGTCGCCGCAGGCTGCTGCGCATCGCAGGGCGGCGAGGGCAAAAAGCTCCCGAAGTGCGTAGACCGCCCGCTGCAGCTCATCGCTCGTTCTGTCGGCCGACCGCCGCGGCTCGAGTTCACCGAGTTGGTATTGGCCCCAGTGCCCGCTGATCACGCCATCGGTGATCACATGTCGCGGTGATCAGGGGGCCACGTGATCGTTCATCATGTGATCGTTTCGGTTTGGTCTGGTCATGCGATCGTCCGGACTTGAATGTGTGATCGATCAATGATTGGAGAAGTAGCCATCGAGATCAGGGCTGCGCTCGGGTCATGTGATCGGGTGACGTGATCCGCCGAGTGATCAGGCGGGCACTAAGGTCTTGGCGAATTGGTGCCCCGCGCGCGACATGAGGAGTGTTGCAGCCAGCAGCTCGTCGCGGCCGCCCGCAGCGGACGGGCGCCCAAGCCTGTCGAGCCCGCTCGGGCCGCTGAGGGTGGCCTGGAGGTTCTTGGCCTGCCCCGATGAGGAGTGGTACCGCGCCGTGCACATTGTCCTCCACGAGCAGGCCCGCGACCTGGTCTCGGCGATCCGGGTGGGCCAGGTGGCCATCTGTGAACAGAGCTCAGAATGCCGTGATCTGTCGATCCTTGCTTAATCATCGACGGCGAGCACACATTGCATGCACAGAAAGTTTCGGAGCTCCGCGCGGATTTCTTGAAGCTGCGGTGGACCCCCCTCTCTGGCGCCGCCAGGGTGTCGGGGGCAGCGGCGATCCAAGAAACCCGAGCGGAGCTTGGAACGTTATGTGTATGCCGTATGTTCGTCTTCGGGTACCCTGAGCCGTCCATCGATTATTGTTCGATCAGGCCGCTGGTCCTGCTGATCTGCCTCTCCATTCGGGACTGCGGCTGGCCATCGAGCTCTCGATCTGTGTATGTCGTTTGTTCGTCTTCGGGTAGCGTGATCCGTCGACCATTGTTCGATCAGGCCGCTGGTCCTGCCGATCTGCCCCTCGATCCGGGACTGGGGCGGGTCATCGAGCCCTCGATCAGAGCGGATGCTTCGCGCCGCCCGGACCGCTCGGGCTGGTTGGGCGGGGTGCTTTCCGAGGACCAGAACGACCTCGGGGTCGTGGGCAGCCTGGAGTCCATCTCGGCGTGGCTCAACAAGTTCTGCGACTTCTTCGACGGGCAATTTGAGAACAAGGCGCGGGAGATAAAAGAGGCCCACCTTCCTCTCCCTCCCAAAGTTTTGGGGGTGGGGGAGGTGAGCGGGGAGGCGGCAGGGCGCGAAGCCGGAGAGTCTAGAGGGTAGGTACAGTATTTGCCTCACCTGGCCCCCGCGAGGACAGCCGCACGGAGTCGGTCACGTTCATGCGGATGGAGCCGTTCATCTCGCACAGCTCGTCGAACGACCTGACCCTGGAGGAGACCGCCTGCTGGGTGCTTAGTGGGTGACGAAGGCTGGGTGTACACGAGCGGGAGCACATACACTGGCGCCTTGCCTCACTGGCGCCGCGAGGCGATGGGAAAACCAGGCCCGTGAGCTGATTCGCTAATACCCACTATCGCTGACGGTGCACGATCGCCCACGGCAGCAGTGTGCATATGTCCAGCCCAGGGCACTCCTGGGCGACGCACTGTTGAGTCGTGGCGGCTGCTCGTGAGGTTCTTTGCTTCCCTGCGGCGAACAAGTACTGTGCTATTCCATCCTTCGGGGGACAACGAATGACATACACGTAAGCTTTCGGAGCTCCGCACAAAATTCTGGGATCGGCGCTGGAGCCCCCTGGCAGCGCCGCTCCAAGACATCATCGCGGAGACCCGCTATCTCATGTTTATGCCGCTTTCTGTTACTCGAACCAGGTCGTCTGGGCTGAAATCGGCGCCACTCAGGCATACTACTGCTATGTTGTGCGTTGTCCCAAAGGGGCGACGCGCGCACACAGACATCGTGTAGTCTATGCTCGGTGGCGGGCGCTTTCTGGCCACACCGCCGGGTAGCGATATCGGAGATTGGGGGGTGAGATCGCAGTGGAACGGAGACCCCCATTCGGGAGATCGTTTCGTTTCGTTCGTGTCGTGCGTGCGGGCGAGGCGAAGCTGCGTGGGCGCGCGAGAGGAATGAACCCGCCGTTGCTAGGGCGAAGTCAAGACGAATGATTCCCCCCGTCCGTGCGTCCGTCTGGCGGTGGCCCTAGCGATGTCCCGTGGTGTCCCGTGGTGTCCCGTGGTGTCCCGTGGTGTCCCGTGGTCCCGTGGTGTCCCGTGGTGTCCCGTTGAGTGAGATCGATAGTGAGATCGGTACTGAGATCGATGTGATGCCCCCGGGTGTACCGTGGTTTCCCGTGGTGTCCCAAAAAGTGAGATCGATAGTGAGATCGATAGTGAGATCGACAGGTGTCCCGTGGTGTCCCGTGGTGTCCCGTTGAGTGAGATCGATAGTGACATCGATACCGAGATCGATGTGGTGCCCCGAGGTGTCCCGTTGTGTCCCAAAAAAGTGAGATCGATAGTGAGATCGACAGGTGTCCCGTGGTGTCCCGTGGTGTCCCGTTGAGTGAGATCGATACTGAGATTGATACTGAGATCGATGTGGTGCCCCGAAGTGTCCCGTTGTGTCCCGTGGTGTCCTAAAAAGTGAGATCGATAGTGAGGTCGATAGTGAGATCGACAGGTGTCCCGTGGTGTCCCGTGGTGTCCCGTGGTGTCCCGTTGAGTGAGATCGATAGTGAGATCGATGTGGTGTCCCGAGGTGTCCCGTGGTGTCCTATGGTGTCCCGTTGAGTGATATCGATAGTGAGATCGATAGTGAGACCGACAGTGAGATCGAGAGGGGTCCCGCGGTGTCCCGTGGTGTCCCGTGGTGGCCCGTGGTGTCCCGTGGTGTCCCGTTGAGTGAGATCGATCGTGGGATCGATAGTGAGATCGACATGTGTCCCGTGGTGTCCCGTGGTGTCCCGTTGAGTGAGATCGATAGTGAGATCGATTGAGTCAGATGTTGGTTCCCACCCCTCCCCCCCCTACAACCTCCTTATCACCCGAAGGGTGGTCGTATAGGTACGATCGTATGGCTGTGCGATCTAATCTTGTCGGACGCACGCCTCCCAGGAGGACCGTAGACACGCGAACGGCGATGCAGGTAAAGGTGATGTAAGTTTCGGTATTGTTGATGGGGGTGATCCGTGGCCAACCCAGTTATATGAAAGCGCTATTCGTTCTTTCCTACGATCGGTTCTGCGCGAGTCCAGCGTCGCAACAACCACATTCCCATCATCGCCGTTAACCAACATCGCCGTTAGCATGGCCTTGGCGACAGGAACATCGCAGAAACACTGAGGGGCACGGTGGCGCCACTGGACCCGACCGGATTCAACCTTGCGCGATCACGGCCGCGACCGATTCAAGGTTGAACGATCGGCGCGGCGTCGAACACCTTGGCGCGCGCCGACGCCGCTCGACCTTGCCATGCGCCTCTCTGTGCCCCACGAGAGGAGACCGCGTGCTGGGTGTACATGAGCGGCAGCTCCCCGATCCTGCCGGCCGTGCACGCCTTCCTCGGCGTGCGCTTCTGCGCCGTGCGGGCGCCCGCCTCGCCCGAGGCGGACCGCCTGGCGGAGCACCTGCAGCACCTGGTGGGCCCCGGGGCATCCAAGGGGGGGGTCCGTGCACAGCAGAGAGAGAGCCACACACACGCTGGCGGCGATGCAGGTGATGGCGATGCAGGGTTCGGTGCTGTGGATGGGGGTGGCTCGTGGCCAGCCCGGCCGTAGGCAAGTGCTGTTCGCGTTTTCCTGCAATCCGTTCTGCGCGAGTTCGGCGCCGCAGAAACCAGATTCCCAACATCACCTTTCACCAGCATCGCCTTTAGCGTGGCTGGGCACAACAAAGTGACAAAGGACAACGAACACAACTCGCCAGGGGGCAAGGCGGGTCCTGAGGGAAAGGGGTCTCGAGGTTTGTGGCCGTTTTCGGGCTCTCAGGGTCCTCCACGGGCCACGAGACTGCCAGGAAACGAATCAGGATGAAGATCTCGTTCTGGAGGAGGCCCCAGGGTCCAGGACCCGTTTCCCTCTGGACCTGTTTCCCCAAGATTCGGCGGCGAGCGAGGGGGGAAAGTGAGAAGGAGGAGGCCTTCGCAGAAGGCGGCGAGACTTTCCAGAAGCCCTCGCCCCTCCTGAGAGGTGTGCTGCGTCCTCGGAGAAGGCTTAGGAGTAGTCTCAGAAGGCCGCGGGACCTCCGAGCATTCTGAGAAGGCACGGCCCTTCTCACTTCCCCCTGGGCTGGCCGCCGAAGCGAAGAGCCACAACCACCATTGAGTGGATGTTTCGGGGTGGTCCCTTGGGGGAGAACCCACCGACGTGAACACTTTAGTTGTGGTTGTGGTCGATCTGACCGCCCTGGGGCGCCACATTGTCCACACCCAGCGCTAAGCTGGCTTCGATGTTCAACCTGTTGCCGGCATGCGCAAGACATCCCCGAGGGCGTGTCCTCGATGTGGTTGTGGTCTATTGCTGTCCTCGCTGGGCTTGGCATCGCTCGGACGTGTGCATGTTTCCTTAAATTTTTCTTCGGCGAGGACCATCGAGGAGCATTCTTGATCATTTGGCGAAAAAACCACGCACGATAATTACCGGAAAAAGCACAGGGAATGGACGTCCGAGCGATGGCCAGTGGGGTGATGACTAGGGGATGGGGGTCGTGTTCACGCGGCGGCGCCCAGGATGATGATAAAACAACGGTCCCCCGGCCGGGACATCACTTTTTGATCTGTGCTACCCGCCCTCCTCGGGCGCGCGCCCGGACAGTCGACGGGCCGGGCGGAGGCGAAACGAAGCGAAAGCCAATGGTTCGGCACTTGTTCAAGGGGCTTACGCCATTCCGCCGACCCCCACGAGGAGTGAGTGTTTGAGACGATCAGTCAGTCAGTCAGTCAAGCCATACGCTGGCACGCGTGGGCGAAAAGAGACGATGCCGGCCTGTACTCACCGCTCTGCGGGAGCAGCGGCACGCCCACCAATTGTTCAAGTGCATCACGTGCGGGCAGAAAAGAGGAGAGGCGGGGAAGAGCGGGCAGGGGGGCTCATTCAAACAGGGCGGCTCACGCAAACTTTCACTGGCTTGTAAAGTTCAACGAAAAATCTCCATTTTGTAGTGTCGCGCCTGAGCCGATCGTGGATGTTATATCGTGGGCCTGGAGCCACTTGGATGAATCTGAGGGTCTCTTGGGATGCCTCTCTGGGGCCTCGTGGAACATCTTTGGGCCATGTGGGAGGCTTTTGGGGGCCTCATGGGGGCCTCTGGGGGGCTTCTTCGGGGGCGACTTGGGAAATTATATTGTTAATCGCTCCCCCCCACAAGCGTATATTCATCGCCATCTTACATTACTTTGCGTCTTCGAGGGGCCGTTGCTGTTCCGCCAGCACGTCAGCCTTTTCTTTCACCCCGGCGTGGGTGTTCGATGCGGATTCGGCATGGATCCGACGTGGATTCGACGCGGTTTCGACATGGATTCGACGCGGATCCCAGACCCCCTCGAGTCACGACAAATTCACGACGGGAAACGTTTCCCTATTTTCAGCCTCTGGGGGCCGTTACGGGGCCTCGGCGCTGTCGAAAATCGACTCCGGATGAAAACCCGATCCGGGGGAACAGGTCGAGACCTCAGGGGGTCGACGCTATGACAAATCATGGCGTCGGGGGTCTGGGATTCGACATGGATGCGACATGGATGTGACGCGGGTGGTTGGCGCGGTGGGACAGGCGAGGTCACCCAAAGATGCAACATAAAGGGTGGGTATCATGATTGGGGCCATGATACCCCCCTAGATTTCATGACCCCGTTCTCGTCAGAGTGAGGGGGCCGAGCGGTCATTCACTGGCCCTGGGTGCGTGGCTGAAGTGGGATTCCGCGGTGCGGTCTGTTGTTTGTTGCTTGTTGCTTGTTGTTTGTTGTCGTCGTCCCACCCGCGACCCGGATCGCGATTTCGGGTTCCCAGGCCGGTCCCCAGAGCATCAAAAGACGCCTCGGGATGAAAAGCCAGGCCAGGGGAGCGCCTAGGGGACCAGGACCCGTTTCTCCTAGGGCCCACGTCCCTCATGCGAAATTCTTGATCTGAGGAGAGGCAGTCAGGCCCAGGGAGAAGACAAGTCCCACAACGCCCCGAACCTCTCTGCAACGGCCCAGGCGCCCGGCACATCCTCCGGACCCGCTGCTCTTGCCCGCGCCTCGTGAAGCAGCCGTGCCTTCGAGCATCGAGGGTGAAAGTTGTTGCAGTTCTTCGGCACGTGAGGGCTTCCTCTCCGGAGGTATCCCGAGGCTTCCGACGTCCTCGGGAGACCTCCGCGGACCTCGGGGTACTTCCAGCAGACCTCGGACCTCGGAGTAGAGTCGGGGGCTGCTCCGCGACCCGTCGAGCTGCAGCGTTTTTTTGTCGCTGTATACGTAGAGCAAAGGTCGTTGCAATCATCGTTAGACGATGTTCTCCTCGCCCTTGCGAGCACAACTAAGTTACAAGGGTAATGTGGTTTTGTTAGTGCGCTCGCGCTGTGGCGTGAGGATTCCCGGCTCACCGCACGCTTGCTGCTCCCCTCTCTCTTGCTTCCCCCCTTCTCTGCAGCTGTTTAGCTTCTAGCTGAGCTGGCGGCTGCTTTTTATGAAGGGACTTCGTCCCGGAACCCCAATGGCCGCGCTCCTCGCATGGCTCCTCGCCCCCGCTCTCTCGCGACCTTCGCCTCCCTGGGAGGGCTGGGGCCCCCCACCGTCGGCCACCCCCGTGGGGTGAGCGGGGCTGGGGTGGAGGCGGACGGGGAAGGAGAACACACGGGAGAGCAGGTGGCCAACCCTCACCCTGCAAGCGCGGGGAGGCGCCCGACCCCATCGGTTCGGTGGGGGAGGAGTTACGTGAGGTCGCTCTGCTGGCTCAGCCCCTCTTTCGGGAGGGCCCCAGCACGGTGTTGGGGAATGCCGCGAAAGGGCGCGCCCCCCTCCCCCTGGCGCGGGGCAGGGTCGCGGCACTGGCGTCCCCCTCACGACCCCGAGGCTGGCAAAGGACATGGCTCGAACCCCCTGGGGGGGTGAGGAGGGCGCCAAACCGCCAGCCATCCCCAAGAAGCCGGGTGGGAAGCGTCGCTCAGAAATCCTCGGGAGCCCCCGCGCCGCGTTCGGCTCCCGCCCCCTTGACCGCGTCCCCCCCCCGTGTGGGCCGAGGGAGGCAAGGGCTTTGGAGCGTTCGCGCAGCGCCCGGCTCTGGGACCTCCGCCAACCCCCCTTCCGATGAAGGGCGAGGGGGAGGAGTTGAAAAGGTCTCCCCCATCGAAGAGACGGTGCGGCCAGCGGGGACACCACGCGGCCCATCTGATTCGGTGGGATCCTCCACCCCAGGGTTCAGTCCCGCTCCCGAGCCCCCGCCCGAGCCCGTAGGCCCCGCTGCCCCGTGGTTCGGAGGGCTCTTTAACCTCGCTCGATGGGCTTTCGGGGGCCCGTCTGAAGCCAATGGGGCCCCCCGTCCGACCCCCCAGAGAACAAACCGGGAAACGGGGATGGGGACCCGGAGGACACCCCCAGGACTTGGCAGGGCACGTGGGAGGGTCTCTTCGGTTGGCCTGGCCACGCGAGTCCCCAGAGGGGCCCGAGGAGGAGAGTTTTCGGGAGGACATCTGGTTCTGCAGCAGGTGCCAGGAAGTGGTCCTTGAGGTGCCTCACGCCCGCTGGCAGAGCCTCACTCACTCACCACCTGGCTCTTCTGGCTCACCCTCGGCTACCTGGACGAGGCCCTCACCTTCCTCTTGGGGGAACGTTGGGGGAGAGTTCGAGGCGCGCGCTCACGGGTGCCTGGTGGCCTACCTCGCGGTCATGTGCCTCGCGTCGCGGCCATCTTCGTCTCTCTCCGATTGATACCTATCCTAATCCCTATCCGCTTCCCGATCCCTCTATCATTATATCCCCAGCCTTGCATCCATGCTCACATCCACCCGGATCCCTATCCCGATCCCCCCGAGCGTGGCCCGCCATCGTGATCCCCCATCGCGGCCCCCACCGTAACTGTGAAACTACGATGAGGGTATCATGGTTCAAGTGTGCTGTTCATGTTTTCACCGTTCTTCGTTGCCCTCTTTGCGCGCCATTCGATTGTCGGCGTAGCGTTTAGCACCACATGCTGGGCCTCTCGGGCACCAGGGGCCTCAACGAGGCTGACAGGTGGCCGCCCCGCTCGGGCGCGGTGCATTCTGCGGACCAGCCTGCGAGAGGCGCCAATGATTCGCACAAGAAATTGCATGAGCATCAACGGTCGGAGCTCTGGGCGGACCTCTTAGATCTGTGCTGGGCCCCCCCTGGCGCACTCCGGGCGCCACGGGGGGGGGGGGGGTCCAGCGCCCGTCCACGAAGTCCGCGCGGAGCTCCGAACGTTGATGGTATTGCAGTGGTTGTTTCTTCCTGCTGCGCCTTTGCAAATTAGGTGGCACAGTGTAAAGTACACGTGCCCGCCTGCCTCATTTCGTCCCGATCCTGGGCATTCTTCGCCTCGGTGCAAAGGTGGTCTTGTGAGGTTCAATGTTTTTGATCTCAGCCGTTCCGTGCTTGCTTCGACGCTGCCGTCGAAAAAGGAAGTCCAACATCCTTGACGCTTCGCGTATCCCCACCAGACGCATCTCAGTTGTGGAAGTTTCTTTCTGGCCACTCTCATTCCACACCCTGGATGCGTATACTGACGTTGCGATGTTCTGATCCGCCGTCAAATCTTCCCGTTGGACTTTGTCGCCAGACAGTCTGTGTTACCCGTCAGACTCCCTGGATAGACGTCTTCGGGACTGTTCCTACCCGTTCGGCTCGAACTGTTGGGAGCGCCTTACGCGCCATTTTGGCTGCGCTCGGCTTCCTCGGAGCCTGTATTCAGACTCCCTGGATGCGCCGTTGCATGACCCGTCCTGGGACTGCCTGCAGACTCCCTGGATTGCACGCCTTGGCTCAGACGCCCTGGGTAGCTGCTGCCTGCCGCCTGACCGCGGCTTCGCGCGCGCCCGCCGCTAGTCGCGGCCGCAGCCCGCCGCGACCGCACGCCGCCGGCGCTTCCGCTTGCGGCTGTAAAAAAAAAGTATCCCCAACAGGCACGTTCACCACGCTTTGACAGCGCGTGACTGGGGCCAGGCCCTCAGGGTTCACCACAGGGCCAGCGTCCCACGTGCTCGGGATGGTGGGCCTTGGGAGCCCCGTGGTCGCTTCGGAGTGGTTCAGCCTTCCGGCAGACGCTGCACTTCCTCTGGACCCATTCCCGCCATTCAGGAAGGTTTTCGACGTCACCTCGGCAGCTTAGCCCACCTCGCTTGCATACACCGTTGGTACGGCCCTGGACTTGGCGCCCCGCTGGCGACTCGTTCATCGTTCACCTCGCCTGTGCGACCTCCAGGCGTGTGAGGCGTGTAGGCATCTACGCGTACGTCCTCGCGCTCTCTGAGTGGTTCACGCCGCACGGCGTAGACATAATTCTTCGCATTTTGCCAGACTGCACGTTGCCCGAGCTTCCCTGGGTGCCCTCAGCCTGTCAGCCTCGCCGCGTGGCACAGCAGCTGCTTTGTGAGCTGGCCCGGCCGGCCTGCGGCGCGCCCAGAAGCTAATTAGGCCTGTTTCCGCGCCCCGGACAGCTTCTGACTCCGCCTGCGCCTTCGCTCGCGGACGCGACCGAAAAACATATCCCCATCAGTTGCCCACCCGGCGGTAGGTTCTGATCCCGCGCTCGGTCGCTGTATAATTAGGCTCGCGCGTAGCCCGCTCGACCTTTTCGGACGCCTCCTGCGCTTTCGCTTGCGGCCGCGACAAAACAAGTATCCCCACCAGGCACTACTTTGACGGCGCGCAGCTGCCTGTGTCGCTCGCGATCAAAAAAAGTATCCCCACTAGGCCCCTCTTCGCCTATTGAGTCGCAACGTAGTTCGCTCCTGCGCGCTTGGTGTCTAAGTTCGATCGCAGCGCTGTTGCTTCGCTCTTTGACGGCGAGCGGTTGTGCCGTGTCGCTCGCGGAACAAAAAAAGTAGCCCCATCAGTCCATCCTGATAAAATGCCTAAGGCCGAAGAACGGGCTCTCTTGAAACTATTTCGGCATTTTGGGAACCCCAGTGGAACCTTCCTTAAGGCCATCGGTTCAAACATGAGAAGGTTGGACGCCCCTGGTATGTTCTTGGGGGCATTTGAAGCCACCGTGGTGCCCGTCTGGACCCCTCATGGGGCCATTTGGGGTGATTGTGACGCCATCCTGGGTCAGATGCGAAAATATTAGAAAGCAGTGATGGATGCCGCGACGCACCCGCTTGCTTTGACGAAAATTCGGCGCCTGTGGTGGCCTCGTTGTGCAAGATGTTAAGAAATCAGCGCCTGCGGCGGGCCTCTTCAGAGCCCGGCAGACTGCCGACAACCCCGCCGCCCCCTCACTCTTATCCGCAACTCCGGGGGGCATTTATATTCAATACATTTTTGGCTCTCCCGGGCTGCGCCATTGCCTCGGCCGTCACTCGCGACCTCCCTCCTCTTGGACGCCCCCCCTGTTGGACGCCCCCGAGGTGGAGGAGTGCCGCACCCTCATGCCCAGGCTGCACCGCGTGTTCGTGGAGGACCTCGGGGGGAATAATCATATCTCAGAGTAAAAGGTATCGGTGCCGCTATGCGTCCCTCGTCACCACGGTTGGATCCGATTCGAACTCTTGGTCAGAACACATCGCAGGAAAGGACTTGGGAGTAGCGCGATCGAATCCTCCGGCAGGGAGGGAATTGAGATTCGAGGTTCGAGGATCGAGGTTCTGCGGCTTTCCAGCCCCGAGATACTTTCCAGCAGCTGTGCCTTGCCGAGAGCATTCCAGTGGTGCCGGATGGTCCCGAACGGCCTCCAGAGAACGATGTATACCCGAAAGCCAGACGACGAGTGTCCATGCCACATTGCCGTGGGAAACCCGTCAGCCTGTTTTTTTCTCCGTGTTTGTCAGTAGTCCTCGTGTGTCTTCAGCAGTGTTGGTTCCCCACGGAGGGGTGTCGTTGATACGTTTTTGCTCCCCTGGGATCTTCGGCGCACCCAGGGGGAAGGCAGCGGGGGCCGGCCTTCTCAGAAGGCGGCGGAGCTTCTCAGAAGCCCTCCCGCCTTTGAGGAGCCTTCTACCCAGACCCCCGACGTCATGATTTTTTCATGACGTCGACCCCCAGAGGTCTCGATCCTTTCCCCTGGACCGGTTTTTTCATCCTGAGTTTTTTTGTTATGACGCTCTCGAGACCCGGCGATGGCCCCTGGAGGCCGAAAATATTGAAAAACCTCCCGCCATGATTTCTGCTTGACTCGAGGGGGGTCTGGGCATGAGCCTTCTCCGAGGCCGCAGACGGCGGCTCGGAAGGCGCGAGGGCTTCTGCGATGCCCCCGCCGCCATCCGAGACGGCCGGCCCCGTCTGCCCTCGCCCCTGGGCGGGCCGCCGGGAGGAGCTCGAGAAGCCTGGGGCCAGCCTGCGGCAGTACAGCTTCCAGCGCTTCGGGAACACGTCCGCATCCGTGGAGCAGATGCACGACCTGGAGGTTGCCTACAACGACGCCCTGAACGCCCTGGTGCGCTACCTGTCGCGCCGCGTGCACCTGGTGTCGCGCGCCTTTCCGGCCCTGGCGGTGCACTTCGGCATCTACCACGGCGAGATCGAGGCGTTCATGCGCAGGAGCCGCCTGGAGCTCCTTAAGATGCGCCGCCGGGCGCACCGGTGCTTGGAGAGGTGACGCCCAGAGACGCCAGAAAGCGCGCGGCACCTCGCATCCGACCTCCTCCATCTTCGGTCACCCCTCCATCCTGGATCACGCGCGTCTGCATCTATCCCCTCCTTCCGTCTCCTTCTCCTCCTCCTCGAGGGCCAACGTTAGGGGGGGGGCAGGCTCAGGGGGGGGGGGGATGCATCGACCCTCACTCGCCCGTTCATTGCCGATAGGGGCCCGATGGCCCACCCAGTTCAGAGCCGTGCTGTTTCGCTATCGGAGGCATGTCACCGATCTGTTGGCGATGCATCGCTGATTCCAAGTCGACGTTCCCCCCCCTGCGGCTGAAGGCCAGGAGGCGTTGGAAGGGAGGACTACAGTCGACTACACGTCATCTTCGTCGTCGTCGTCGTCTAAAACTGCCCCTCACTCCTCCCTGGCTCGGGGTCGCCCTGCGTGTCCCGGTCGCATCGCTAAGATGCTCAGCTCGCTGGGAAGCCGTGGTCTCGTCGCGTCGATCAGGCCACCATCCATCCACTTCCTCCTTCCCCTCCCCCTCTTCCTCCATCGTCCTCCCCTCCCTCCTCCACCGCCTCCTCCTCCCCCTCCACCTCCTCCTTCCTCCCCCCCTTCCCTCCTCCACCTCCTCCACCTCCCCTTCCTCCACCTCCTCCTCCCCCTTTACAACCAGCCATCGACGTAGGCCTGAGAACTTGTGGCCAGCTTGCGGTCAACGTGCGTTGTGACCTGTATCTGCCCGGCTTGCGGCCCGCACCCACCACCACCACCACTAAGCCGTGCATCCGGTAGGACGCGTGGGCGGAAGAGCGCGCAATTGGCGACTCTTCAGAAGAACTGCAACCGAGAGCGAGAACGCTGAGCGCCCCACGACTGTGAAGCAGGCAGCGGAGCGCAACGCGACTGTGAAGCAGAAAATGGAACACCATACTGCTCCGAGGTACACGTAGAGGGAAAAAGGGAAAAAACAAGGCGAGGGGAGGAAGACAAGGACGGGGGAGGTGGGGCCTCAGATGTGCTGCGTCATCTCGTACACTTGGGAAGCCCACTGCTGTCTGGGCCGGCCGCGCCGCCGGTGTTCCACCCAGTTGCGTGGGGTACCGTCCAGATTACATAAACATTGACGTACCAAGGACGAAGGTGCACTGGAAGCGACACGGATGTATAGTTTGCGTTGTTTGTCAAGTAGAAGCTGAGATAGCGGTTTGGCGCCCGCTTTTTCCAATACGCTCGAATTACTTATTCGCGAGAAGAAAGAATGCGGAATGCCCAGGATTCGGCGGAGGCAGCGGCAGTGGAACGCGTCAAGCCTCGACTTGTCAGCCTTCAATAACCACAGGGAATCGAGCGAGTACAATAGCTTACTTACCACCACACTGTCATACACTTTGAACTTTCGTTTCCATCCAACAGCGGTGTGCGACCAAATCTTAGCAAGCTTGTTGAATATGCCATATGCTTCCCCCAATCGGCGGTTGAGTTCGGTGGTGGCCTTACCGTCACAAGAAACCATCCCGCCCAAGTAAACGGCTTCCCGGACAGCTTTGATAGGACCACCATCAGGCCGAACAACGACGACGTTGGTTGAGATCTGCATTTGTAATGTCTTGTCCCAGTTAAGCTCGAGTCCGTATTTACAGCCTTCTCCAACAATAGCGTTCAGCATGCTCTGGACGTTTGCCTTGCTCTGCGACAACAGTAGTGTGTCATCTGCATATAGAATGTCACGCGTCACCACATAGGCGGGTTCGGCTTCGAAGTTGATGGGCCCAAAAGCATCGTGCAACATAACGGTCTGTACTGCAATAAATAAGTATGGGGAAAGTGGGCATCCTTGTGCAATTCCTGCCATTTGCCGTCTTTCTTTGGATTTCCCCGTGTGGTCCACAATCGTGAAGTAGCGCTCAGCGTAGATAGCTTCGACCATGGCCACGATGTCCGAGGGAAGCCCAAATCGTCGTAAAGCGTCGCACATGCTTGTAGGTTTGAGTCTGTCGAACGCTTTAGCCCAATCCAACATTAACAAAATGAGGCCGCCGTGCTTGTTGCTGTGAGCCGCGTCAATCATGCGCCGGACGAGCATGAGCGCGTCTGCCGTCCCGCGCCCAGGGCGGAACCCAAATTGTGATCCGCGCATTCGAGACTCAGCGCCACCTTGAATTAGACGTTGATGGATCATGGAGGCTAGGAGCTTATACCCAATTTGGAGTAAAGATATGGGTCTGTAGTTCTCTGGCAATTTGATATTTCCTTTCTTGAACAAAAGAACCACGTTCGCGCGCCTCCAAGACTCGGGAATTGCTTTGTGTTCCCAGCATGTCTGGCACAGGCGAAGCATTATAGCAGAGGCATCTGGATCTGATCCCAAAGTTTTTCAAAAGTCCGGCGGAATACCATCGGGCCCCGGAGCCTTGCCACGACGTAGCCGTCGCAGCGCTCCAACCAGTTCATCCGGGATGAAAGGGCCCGTGTTGATAGGTAGCAAATCACCTATGGGAGCTCGCGGTTCCGGGACATTCTCTGGGAAGCGTATTTGCCATTGGATGTCTTCGAAGTAGTCGGCCAAAACGTCTGCTCGATCAGCTGTGTATGCCAGGGTCCCGTCCGGGCGCTGTATTGTCGCGTGCTTGATGCCTGGAGGTTTTCTGAGATGTCGCACTGCTTCCCAACCTCCCCTTTGGATTAGTAGGCCCAGCCATTCTTTACGATCTTGAGCTCCAGACTTCCGAATCTCCTTATGTAAACGCTTTTCGGTTTTATGGTCCCCAGCTGAACGTGCATCTCTTCTCTGCTCGATTAAATCAAGAGTGCGCTGGCTTGTCCACGCTTGCTTCGGCACCGTCTCCCGCATAGGCAATGTTCCAGAGGCTTTTTCGAAACCGTATCGTACCCTACTGTTCATAGCTTCAACAGACTCATTGCCATTGCCAATTGAAACGCCCACGGCCCCAACAAATGCTGATGTAAAACGCTCTCTGGTGTGGGGGTCTTTGAGGCTTGCCTTGTCCGCGTGCTTCTTCTTTGAGGTTTCCTGACGCTTGAACGCCAAATTTGATTCGACAATGGTTAGGTAATGGTGCGAATTGAGAACGTCCAGTCGGCTCGTCCAGGAATCTCGCAAGGTATGCAAAACACTGTGGTGGCATAGAACGTGATCCAATTGAGCAAACTTGCGCCCAGATATCTCGTTGTCCGTCGGATCGACGCCCAGATCTCTATAGGAAATTTTCATGACGTCAGGGTGGTCGTGGTATGTGTTTGCAACCAGCAAGCCACAAGACGTACATAACTCCACTAGGAGGTGCCTGTTTGAAATTGTGTTCTGCACCACGTTATCCGGGGCATCCGCGCACTGAAAAACATGAGGACCAACGATAGCTTCCTCTCCAGCTCCGGCACGTACGAGCCTAGCGTTCAGATCTCCCATGATGTACGTCGTGCTGTTCGCCGTGGTTGCTCGGATATGCGCCTGAAGGTCCATGTAGAAAGTGTGCCGCTCGTCATATGGGCGGCCGTTGTGTGGGGCATACGTGGAAAGCAGTGTAAGCATACCATGTCTAACTTTTACTCGTAGGGAGGCCACTCTGGGAGAGCACGCCTTGAAGGCCACAATACTTTTCAATATTTTTGGCGACGCCACAAACCCAACACCAGAGTGCGACGTGATGTGTATGTCCAGCTCGCCTGACAAGAAAATCGTGTAGCCATTATGCTCGTAGTATTCTGCTCCATGTAAGTGCGTTTCTTGTATACATAAAATGTCTATTTCGCGTATGCGCATGATGTCGATAATTTCGTCGATCTTGACGATGGAATCGCCTCGTAAACCTTCGATGTTCCACGTTCCCATGCGCCCGGGGCAGCAAGGTGAGCAGGCAGACCGAGGTCTACCCCAAGAGAGGCTGGAAGAGGATGATAGTTCATGACACCCTCCGTCACTTTGTCCATGGGGATGGCCGGGAGGAGGAGGTAGAAGACTATGGAGCGGAACGGCGTCGTGGAGTAAGGGAGATGAAACGACCGCTCTCCGCTGTACGACGGTATCTTTGCCCAAGTTCGTAACGGCGGTAATGGTATCTTTGCCCACGATGGCGGTATAACTATGTACATGTAGATCTTCTGGGCCGGCTCTGGGGACCGGCCGTGTTTCCTACTTACCCTTGGAGCCTCCCTTTGTTGTGCCTTTCATGCCCTCGGAGGCCCGCTCCAGCAACGAGGCGTTTTTCGCGATGAGATCGGTCAGCATGGGATGTTTTTGAAGTTCTTCCCAAGCTTCCCACTCTGGGCCCCATTTCAGTACCAGGCGCGACTCGTCCACGCCCACGGAAAGGGCAGTAACGCCACCAACGGAGACTATGAAAGGAAACTCGTTGGTTGCAATCTGTATATTGTACTTGTTGTTCAGCTCGTTGTTGAGGATGCGCTTCAAGCCAAAACATACGTTACGAGCCGCGCGGAAGGACGATGGCTTGTCCTGTGTAACCCAGATTGTTGTCCCTCCGTGGTCAGGGTTCGCACTCCGTAACAATCCAACTGCCAAGTCTCGATCAGCTTCGCTTGCAAATACCGCGAAGATAATGTCTCGGAAGTCGCCTTTTGAATATATGTCCATAGCTGCAGGCGCCGACAACGAGGAAAGCAGGTCTTTGACCCAAGAAGAGGCTGCTGACATAGAATCGAAACCAACCAACTTTCCAATCACTGCTGTACGGTCCCGCTTTGCCTCCCCTGACATGTTTGATTGTTGTGATTTGCCTGATACTTTTAGCTCCGAAACCTGACCCTCCAACATCTTGATCTGCTCCCAGATGGCCGCGTCGTCGCTCCGGGGGGTGGCCGTGGCGTCGGAATGCTCGGTGGTCTGGTTCTCAAGGTTGGTGAGGCGGATGGCGAGGTCCTCGATGCTCTCCTCCACCTCCTCGATCCTGGTGTTGATGGTCCCGCTCATCTCATTCAGGCGGCGTTCGAGGCCGTTGATGGTGTTGCGGATAGGTTGCACCTCCTTGCGTATCACGTTCGCGATCTGATCCAAGGTAGGTGGACGTGGATGTTGATGCTCCTGTTGAACGGGTCCTCCTGCTGGTGGTAGTGCCTCCGCAGGGGTCGTAGGGGTTGCAAGTGCGTGAACCTCAGGGCCGCCGTCGCCATCCATTTGATTTAGTGGGCTGAATAGGCGTCGGCGCAGAATGCTCTCCCTCCCGACTCCTACAGGCGCACCTGGAGCGCGGGTGTGCGCACGTGGAGGGCCATCACGCTCGGCGGCCGATGGAGAAGAGCTCGAAGCCATGACCATTGGAAGAGGCAGCAAAAGTGTGGAAGAAAAGATGTGGAGGTGGGAACTGTAGGTATGTAGGAAGCGAACGTGGCGGCAATTTCGCAGATCGCAACCCCCCTTGATGAGAATGGCCTAGCGGATGTTGGAGGGGCGTCTGGCATTGCGAGGGTTGCACAAGGAAGCGGGAAGCAAACATGGAATCCAGGGGAAGAAAAGTGTGTGTATTTGGGGATGGAAGGAGGGAGCGAGGTAGAGTTGGGAGGTGGGAGGAGGAGGAGGAGGAGGAGGAGGAGGAGGAGGAGGAGGAGGAGGAGGAGCAGGAGGAGCAGGAGGAGCAGGAGGATGCTTTAGGGGGGAAAAGACGAATGAGAAGAAGGAGGAATAGGAGGGAGAATGGAGGGGGCGGAGCAGGCCGACTTCCTTTCCCTGTTCTCGCACTGCTCTCATTTCTCTATTCCCCCCCCCCCTCGCCCATCTTTCTTCCCCCACGCCTCCTCTTCAGTCCCCCGCCTCCGTCCCCCTCAATCCAAGCCATCTCTCCTTTCCCTCTTCCTTTCCCATTCCCCCTCCACATTCGCCCCGTTCCCCTTGCTTCGCACCCCCTCTTCATCGCCCCCTCCTTCTTATTGCACTCCCTCTCCTCAGCGTTGTTCGGTCCTTCGGACTAGGACCCCAAATCTAAAAACTGGCCTCCCGAAGAAACCATCGGAAGTGAATCCACATTCGGTGTCGATTCGTTCATGTTTTGGGCCGCGGAAGCCCCCCACTTTGGGGCGTCGCCACGCCATGCTATGTCACGCTACGCGTTAATCTCCAACACTATGTTGTACCATGTAATGTTGGCGCGATGGGACAGACGAGGCCCCCCGAATATACAACAGGAGTTGTGCATTCATAGTTGAGGTCGACGTTGGGGCCATTGTTTTGTCCAGTCGGCCTCTCCGTACCTCCCGCTATCTTTGCTCCCTCCTCCCTGCTACATCCTCCGACTGCCCCGGGACGGGCCGCCCCTCCGCGACGTGTTCCCCTGCCCCCTCCTGCTCCTCCGATTGATGATCGAGGTCGTTGGGCCTTTCCTTTCTTCCGCGCGACTTCCCTGTCGCTGTGCACTAAGCCCACTTAGTCCCTGCCGCATCCTCCCCCTTCCTGTCCCAGGCACATCTGCTGCACGCCACCCACCTGCGCCAGCCGCGACACCCCCTGCGCCTCCGAGACGGCATTTTATCCACAACCACTGCCTGGGCGATCGGCTTTTGGGGACCTCAGAAGGCAGGCGACAGATTGGTAGTGAGGTAGACCGATCAATGGTCAGTGAGATCTGCCGATAGACAGTGAGACCGACATACAGGTCATCGATGGTTGTCTCGCTTGTGGTCCAGGTCGTTGTCCCGATGATGGTCCTGGCGGTCTTCCGAGCGGTTGTCCCTATGATTGTCCCTTAGATTGCCCCGATGATTTCCGATGGTTGTCAAGGGATTCCGCCGCTACCTGCTAGCTAGCTAGGGCGGCGAGGTCACAGCAAGAGTCTCCCTTCCCCTCCGGTTGGCGGAACTTGGCCGCGATTCTCCCGTGGTTGTCCAGATGGTTGTTCCGACGGTTGTTTTAATGGTTGCCCCGATGGTTGTCCGGATGGTTGTCCCGATGGTTGTCCCGATGGTTGTCCCGATGGTTGCACCGATGGTTGTCCCGATGATTGTACCGATGGTTGCCCGATGGTTGTACCGATGTTTATCCCGATGGTTGTCCCAATATGGCCAAAAACATGCGCTCGGCGCCGTCAACGCCTTCGGCTCCTCGAGCTGTGAGCCACCATGCAAAACAAATATGCGCTGGTTGTCCCGATGGTTGTCCCGATGAGTAGATAGTGAGGCCGATACTTCGATGTATGGAGGTAGTTGTCCCGACCGATATCCCATCGCCGGTTTCCCCACTCCATGTTCCGTATCCGTCTTTGGACGGTCTCATTCCCATGTTCGGGCCCCCAGGGGCCAACATGTGTCCAGATCCACCGCCCCCTTGGGCGGCGCGCCAGGAAGGGAAGCGAGAGGGGGCACGCCCTCTGAGAAGCCGCCCGTGCCTTCGGAGAAGGCTCAGCGAAAGCTCAGAAGGTCGCAAGCCTTCGGAGCCTTCTGAGACGGCCTGCGCCCTGTGCCCTCCGCCCCTGCATGGGCTCGCCGCCCACCCCTGGCCCAGGCCGTCGGCTCTCCAGGCGGTGGATCTGGGCAGATCTTCGCCTCGCCGAGCCGCTGCCGTCGTTCGGGCCGCCCCTGCAGGCGCCCGGCAGTTCAGGGCGACGATGCCGGCCGGGGCCGAGTGGGCTGCCGCGCCACGTCCGGGGGAGGACCAGGCCCGACGCCGCGGGCCTGCGTCGTCGAGCCTGCCGCCGCCGTCGTCGCCGCCGTCGCTGGGAGAGAGGGACCTCCTCCTCCTCCTCCTCCTCCTCTTCCTCCTCCTCCTCCTTCCATTCCTCCTCCTCCTCCCATTCCTCCTCCTCGCCGTCGCTGGGGGCCTGGAGATCCTCTCGTCCTGAGGGAAAAGCACTGCGGGCGTCGTTCTGTCAGGAGGGGCGGTGAATCTAGACCTCCCAGACTGGGTCCGAGCAGGTGGGGTCGGAGAATGGCGCCGCATCGCCGATGCATTAGCGATGCGGCTCGATGTGGAACCCGATTTTCTTCGCGCCGACGTTGCCGATGAATCACCGACGTCGCCGATGCATCGGCAACGGGCGATGCGGCAAGAATCTCCACCCCCACCTGAAGCCCCATCTAGGAGGCTTCTCATGACCATGATCAATTTTGTCCCAGAGCTTTCCTGGACGCTTTCAGGACATTCCGTAGCTCTTTGGAACGGCCGCGGCGCCCGAGCTGAACCTGAAAGGTCCCCGATTCGTCCTGCTCCGACTATGTTCCAGTCCTGGCTCCGTTCCAGGCTTTCGATTCAGTTCGACCAGGACCTGGTACAATCCGAAAACTATTCTGGATGTCAAGCCGCTTCCAGGGGAGGGTTCGAAAGGACGTCCAAATTGCGAGAAAGGCACGGCTCAAGGGGGGCAGGGGCGAGCTTCGGCCGCCAAAATATGGGGTTGAAGTAAATGATGTTGGTGGATCGCGCCGCATCGCGGATGCATCGGCGATGCGGCTCGATGTGGAGCCGGGTTTTCTCCACGCCTACGTCGCCGAAGCACCGGCGACGTCGCTGCGATCCGCCGGCCCCACTTGCTCGGACCCCGTTTGGGCGGCCACAGGGAGCGAGGGGCTGCGCAGGGGCCATGTCAGTTCCAGTCGTTGATTGGCTTGGCACTGGTCCAAGCGGCCTCGTCTGCAGAGGAGTCCAGGATTCAGCGCCTAGGGTAAGATATGATCGTGGCCGTGCAGATGCGTACCCTGAGACTCTTGCATCGCAGTTTTTCAATTGGGAAGATTTTGCCTTGCTTCGGGCCCCTGGGCCATCACATACCGATCCAGTTCGAAGAATGCCGAGAAAGCTTGGGTGTAGGGCTCTGGTTTGTGATCTTTCTCGGTGTTGCATTTGTTTCGCAACGTCGGATGTCAGGGTACGGGACTGAGATCGCTGCGCTGTCTTAAATCATAATCTAGAGCTTGTGAGGTAGAGTCGTGCTGCACATCCCCCGATTTTTGTCTTGGGGGCCGAGCAGCACTACAGTCACCAGTCACACGATCACAAAGCAAGATCAACGGCCACAGGATAAAGGCAGTAACAAGCTCGTGGGGAAGGCCGGCACAGGTCAGCGGCCGCCTCCGTCTCCCAGCGGAGGCCGCCAGGCTTCGACCAGGGCAGACAGCTCTGCCATGCCATCGAACGCGAGCTAATGCGGCCGTTACTAATCAGCAATCGGCTCGCCGATAGGCTTGGGGAGGCCTGATCGAGGAGACCTCCCGCCGCATGTCGATCGAGGCCATAGCATCCTGGAGTTTACCTAGCGGTTGCTCGTAATTGACTCACTAGTTCTCTCTCCATCGTATGTGTTCCTCTCTCTCTCTCTCTCGGTATTCCTCTGTGTATATATGGTTCGCTTTCTCTGTATGTACTCGTACACATATACATATACACATTCATATATTCATATTTCTATATATATATGTTGTGTGTATATATCTGCCTCTCTCTCTCTTTCTCTTGTTTGTTTGTTCTCTCTCTCTCTCTCTTTCTCTTTCTCTGCCTATCTATATACACATGTATAGGTAGCCCTTTCTGTTTATACACACAGGTGTATATACACATGTGTGTATGTGTGTATATGAATATATATATATATATATATATATATACATATATGTATATATATAGCAGGCGTATGTGTACCGGGATCTCTCGCTGGATAGTTAGATGATTGCACTGCTTATGTGGAATCCATGTGGTGCAAGCTGCGTGGTGTGCGCTACTTGTGTAAGCTATGCGGCGCAATCCTCCTTCAAGAACCTGGAGTCGTCAATTCCGTTGCTCGCGTAATCACCCCACCCTCCAACCCGCAATTTGCTTGTCACAACCCATGCGGTAGCGATTGCGGCGAATACGTGGCACTATCTGGCGCGTCTCTGAAAAGCTGCACTCGCGCGCGCAAGCTCGCACGCAGAGCGACCAGCTGGTTTGGCACAGCGATGCGGCCGCGATGGCGCTTACCGATGGGAACTCCCCAGCGCGTCCCCAGTCAATGATAAAGGTCATGCGCTGATGATGACGGCCCGGGCGTCGAGTGACGATGACAACATTGTCGGCGATGCGGCGGCGCATGGCGGCCCTGATGAGGGTGACTGCGAGGAACTACGCGCCCATGAACGTAAGGAACCTGGCATAGACTTTCGCTCAGGAGCAAAACGTAACCCACATGCTTTGAAACGTTCCGCCCTGACATATTTTGAAGACCAATGAGTTTGGGCGGGTTTGGACACGCGTGTGGCCTCGCGCGCGTGTGGCCCACGAGGTATTATTTGAGTCGGATTCGCTCACTGCGTGCATATTGGACGGACGCAGATGCACCGCGTGGTGGGATCAAAATGCGTTTTATGGGCTGCACGGTTAACTTTGAATTGTTTTCTTATGGATTTTGAAAGTAAGCGCAAGCAGGACGTCTGCAGGTTTCGTCACGATCAACCGAGGGGTGTTTGACGCGTTGTATGGATTTGACGTGCGCGCATTGCATTATGCGACATGGACGATGGGATTGGGGGGGTGCAATACCCAGCTTGGCTGCGATAGCATGAATTCATACGGACATTATCGACGGGGCAGATTCATTTGAAATTTGCCGTATCCTACGGGGTCGGAGTGTCTGGTTTCGGGAGAGGGGTGGCATATGTTTTTCTCGGCGATGGGAATATAGCGATTAATCAATGTGGGGCAAGCTTGGTGGTGCAGTGTATGTGGTGTAATGTCTGTGGCTTGAGCTATGCTGAGTAATGTGTGTCGTGCGCGCTGTGTGGTGCAATGTGTTTTGGACACGCATTGTGGTTGAGCGGCTGTGGCGTACGATCTGTGGTATAATGTATGTTGCAAAAGTAGCGTGTTGCATTTTATGTTGTGCACGCAAGGTGATGTAAGCATATGTCTGTAAGCTATGAGGAACAGCATGCGGTCTGCATTTTGTGCCGCAGGCTTTGTTGTCCAAGCTTGAATTTGACCTCATCCGCGTGCCACCATCTCCAATGTTCATGCAGCTATGCCCCCCACCCACCCGCAACTTCTTGGCATAACCCATCCGGGTGTCGACAGCAACGATGACAGGGACTATGAGAATGGCAATGACGACCGTTAGGAAGATACCGGCGACGACGACGGCGAAAGTGATGAAGATGACGGTGATGACACCGACCGTGGCAACGGTTACGTTTTCGATGATGATGGCGACGCCGTTGTTGGATAGGATGATGAGGAAGTGCGCGCAGACATTCGACGAGGGCGACGGCATCGGCGATGACGATGGCGACGGCGTCAGAGATGATGACGGTGATGGTCGTTGTGATGCGGGTGGCGATGCTGAGAGCAATGACGGTACTGCTAACGGTTGTGTTGATGAGGCCGATGAGGAGCTGTGTGCCTGCAGGAGATCAGATTGCCCATCGCATGCGAACAGAAAAGAGCCATCGAATGTTCGTATGAGCACCAAAAGTTGAAGCACCAGAAGTGTTTGAAGGATTCCGACGTGCGCGCGCGGAGACGCGCGCGTGTGACCCGCACGCTATTCTATGACACGGTAAGCGGGAACTCGATTGGTGGTGCACGTGTTGGGCACGAGCGCGCGCGTGTGGCACGTATGGTCCCATTTGACAAGGTTCAGGTATCAATGTGTTCTCGTGGTTTCAGCGCGTGCGTGGGCGCAGACTTTCGCATACTTGACCTTTGCTTTTGGATGGGTTACCAATGAATATGTTTTTGCTGTCATGCCCCGTTTGGAGACATCTGTCTAGACATGGTAGTGACACGAGTGGCTTTGAATGAATTTGACATGCGCGCGAGGCGGCGAGCGCATGTGCCCCGCATCGCACATTTTCCGAAGGATCATAGGAGGAAGCGGTGCTCAGATCAATGTATGCGCACCAGATGGTATCACTTTACAGGGATGAAGGAAAGGCGGCATCTTGATTGTCTGGAGTGCGACGACCTGATATTATGGGTGATCGACCGTTCAGAATATTACCTTACACCTCAAACACAAAGTGAAACAATACGCAGAGTAGGACGTGTGACGTGGAGGTGGCTTAGGGTATATTTTTGGCGTGGGGCCGGGTCTCCGAAGGGAGATGCGAACGTTGTCCGATGTTATTTTCGAGAAAGTCGGCAAGAAGGGGGACGCAGGAGATGTTTGTTGCTCTGTTTGTCTGGCAGGTCTTTTTTTCAGTCGATCGGGTGGGAGGCCCTCGTAGATGTGGATGAGAATGGTAGAGGAGGAGAAAGGCGAGGAGCAGGAAGAGGAAAAGGGATCCGGGGACGGACTTCGAACAGATTGTGGCCGGGACTGTGGTATGAGTTTTTCCGCGCAGCTCGTCAGGAGGTAGGGTCCTTAGCTCAGCTCAAGGGATGTCGAGCCTACTCCTGGGCTGAGGCATGGTACGTCCTGGTCCAGACATCGTCTTGGTTACATATGCCGATGGGGAGCCTTTCTCTTCCGCACAGCGCCTGCTCGACGGCTCGGCGGCAGCCGCGGGCGCCGTGCGCCACGTGGCGTGGGAGCCCGAGCGCTTGGCGCGGTCGGCGAGGGAGATGTTCGGCAGCGGCATGTGGAGCTATGTGCAGATGTCCAGGCCTCTCAACTCGGCGTTCACGGGCCGTTGGTGGAAGCCCTTCATCATCATGCACACGCTCCACACCGTCGCGCCAGGCTCTTGGGTCGCCTATCAGGACTGCTCGAGACACACCCGGGAACCGCTGCCTCCCGCTTCCTTGTCCGACATCGTGGGCTGGCTGGAGGATCGCGGCCAGATGTCCCTGGCCGGCGCGCGAACGCGAGCAGGGGTGGCGTGGTCTTGGCGGCAGAGTTGCTTCAAGTTTGCGGCCGGAGGCTACGACGGACCCGAGACGCTCGCGGCGGACGACGAGCAGCAGTCGGCAGCGGAGTTCTGCCGCGTCGCCGGGCTCTTGGGCTTCTGCCCCGAGGAGGAGGAGGAGGCCAGCGGGCGCGCGGCCTGCTGCTCGATGCTGGAGCGCACCGGGGGGCTTCAGTCCAGCTGGTCCTTCTGGAAGGGCGGGGCGGAGAGCGTCGCCGCCGTGAAGTTGTGGTTAGAGGCGCTCCTGGACGCAGAGGCCGCCGCGGTGCTGCCCTTCGGCGACCAATCGGCCCTGGAGCTGGTGGCTCACCAGTTCGGGCTTCCAGCCCTGTGGATGCCAGGGCACATTGCCCTGGGGTTGCGTCCGCCGTTCAAGCGGCTAGACGAGCCCTTCCTGCGCCATATCCGCTTCGCGCACGAGAGCATAGCCTCCGGAGCCGCCGTGCTCGCCGGGCCGATGCAGTCCGACCCCCTCTGCTGGGGCCCAGACCGTGCTCCTTCCAGGGTTGCCTCGGCTACACGTACGAGTGACAGTTCGCTGGAGTGACTTTTGGTGCGGGTCCAGTGGGGCGCCCCGGTCGCCGAATGCGATGCGATAGCAGCGGCTTGCGCGCCTGGTGGTGTCCCCAAATGGCCCCCCCCCCTGGGCCACGCACCACAAGTCACTCTTGCCTAGGGTCGCTCTTGCGCGTAGCCGATTGACTGGCTGCTCTCGCTGTGCCGCTGGCGGGAGCTGGGGGAGGGCGTCCTGTCGGCACGCGTGCGCAGCGCGCGGCTATTCAACGAGGCATCTGCCCAGCGGCAGGGCCTCGTCGTGCGGCAGGGGCACGGGCTGGAGGCTGAGGAGGGCTACGCCGGCGTCTTGGAGGCAGCCGGGCTCCCGGCAGGCAAGGTGCGCCTGAGCCCGTTCTCACTGGGGCACTGGTCCCTGCCGAGGTCTGCCAAATTCGGGGGACAAACAGCTGCATGAGCACACATGTTTGGAGCTCCGGTCGGATTTCTTAGATTCGCGCGGGGCCCACCTAGCAGCGCCTCCAGCGCCGCCCCTGGCGTGCTCCGTGCGCCAGGGAGGGGGGCCCAGCGCAGATCCAAGATGTCCTCGCGGACCTCCGAACGTTTCCTTTCAATTATGCTGTTGTTTGTTCCTCTGCAAATGCCAGATCGGCTTGGAGCTGCTGGTGGAGAACGATGGGTCTCTGCCGTGGCCCAGGCACTTGCGCTGGCGGTGCGTGGTGGGCAACTTCTTTGGACCCATGGAGCGGGAGATGGTCCTAGCAGGCGTCCACGCTGGCACATCGGTCCAGCCCGCCGAGTTCGCCAGGGTACGTCTGCAGTTCAATGTGAGCGGCGGCGAGCCCAGCCTCGCGACGCACCACCTGGTGATGCAGCCCGCTGACGTCGCTAGTGCCGCACATGGTGGCTTCTTCGGTGTCATGCTGTCCTGGACAGTCCACTTCGAAGACGGCTGACACAAATAGAGACATGCTCGCCAGCGTGGACACCCAACAGCGTGCTTTTGTACAACCTATGTTGCGCAACCTATGTTGTGCAATCTATGTGGTGCAATCTGTGCGATTCCAATATATGTGGTGCAATCTACAGTCAACCATGAGAGTAAGGATGGGCAATTTGGCCAGGGCACCCTTGCATCCGTGCCCCTTCGGCGCATCCTTGCCAACTTTCGCTGGCCAACCCTTCAGGGGATCCTTGCATCCTTAGATTGCGCGGCGCGACGCCCCTGGGGGCCAATCCTGACGGATGCTGGATGGGCAGGGTACCCTTGCATCCTTCGGAATTCGGCCGCGCTCCGCGCGCAAAACCTTAACATGGCGTTCCAAGGCCCTTGCATCCTTACCGCGCATCCTTATTATCCTGGTTGACTGTAGGTTGTGAAGCCTATGAGAAGTTGATGATGTGCAATCTAGGTGGTGCAGCTTATGTTGTGAAATCTATGGTGTGCAATATATGTCGTGCAATACACGCGGTGCAACTGATGTTGTGCAAGTCACTTGCCGAATTTGAAGTTGTCAACTCCACTTCTCGCGCAATCACCCCACCCACCCACCCGCAACTGGGTTTGCAAAGCCCATGCGGAAGCGATTGCGATGAGTGTTGGGTGTTGGCTGGTGCATCTCTGCGGCCGCGCATGCTCGCGCGCGCAACGGCCAGCTCGTTTGGCGCGACCGACGCGAAAACGGTGGCGCTGCCCGCTCGGCACACCCCAGCGGGCACTTCAGCGCGAGTCGGCCACTTGGGCGGGCGCGGTATCATGGGAACGTCGACAACGGTAGACACGATGTTAATAGTAGCAATGCCAGCGACGATGCTGACAGCGACGACAGGGCAGCCAGTGACAGCGCCGATGCTGCTCACGCCGACGACGACGATGACGGCGCCTTCGCGTCGGTGATGAAGGTTTTGGAAGGAATTCGAAATGCGCGCGCGGCAGACGCGCGAGAGTGGCTCGCATGGTATTTGTGACACGGATCGCGCCACCCCAGCACGAGCGCAAGGGCGTTCGAACGATTTCGACATGCGCGCGCGCGAAGCCCGTTAGGTAACATTTATGAAATGGTTGAGAAGCTTATGGTTTTCTTAGGAATTCGCAAGAGCGCGCGCACGCTTTTGTTGAACATCCGTGTTGCGCAACCATGTTTTCTTACGCTTCGTGGACACTCGATCTTGAAATTCTTCTGCAACCGAGGGTTTTTGACGGATTTCGGTATGCGTGCGCGACGACGCGCGCGTGCGCACTTCGTCCCATGTGTTGCAAAAGGACGGTTGAAAATTCAGGATTGTTTATAAATGAGTGCGCGCGCATCGTATGTTTTGCAGAGGATGGCGGGGGTACCAATACCGGCCTGGCTGGGATAGTGTGGATTCACAGGTCGGATGGACATTGAGTCAGAATCATATGTGTTTTGCATCGGTTCCCTCGACATATGTATATGAGTGAGTGGGTGGACGGCTGGGACAAAAAAAAAAAAACGTGGTTCTGGCAGGTAGGGATCCAGGGGCCCCCGCTCGCAGGACTGCTCTTGCCGCCGCTTATCCCAAGAAGTTGTGTAACACCGTCGCTGACCATTTCGTACATTTCTGAGGTTCCCGAGTCCTCGGATCGCTTCAGAAACGCTTGGGAGGTTTCGGCCTGACGGCCATATTCATCGCTCGGGGAGACGGGCACGGGTTTCGCGTCCAGTGCTCCAGTGACTGTCGCCCCTCTAGCGGTGATCGATACGATTCTGCCATTGCTGCATCGTCTCTATAGAAAGTGAAGTTGAGCCTGGGTGAGTCTCGTCTGGGTCCCGGGGATCTCTCTTTCCTCCTGTCTGGTGTCAGGGACCCATACTGGTGCTTCCCACATTTAAATGTATGAGCAAGAGGGGAGGGGGATGGACGCCGAACCGATACCGTTCGGCTCAAGCGCCCTCCCTCCCACCCGCGTACAGCTTGAGACTTTTTTTCCGAGTTTCGCGTCCAGTGCTCCAGTGACTGTCGCCCTTCTTGCGGTGATCGATACGATTCTGCCATTGCTGCATCGTTTCTATAGAAAGTGAAGTTGAGCCTGGGTGAGTCTCGTCTGGGTCCCGGGGATCTCTCTTTCCTCCTGTCTGGCGTCAGGGACCCATACTGGTGCTATATAGATTGCACTTCGATGTGGTGCAACCTGTCGCTTGCATTAAATTTTGAAAAATTTGGAGTTGTCAACTCTTCTGATCGCGCAATCACCCCACCCACCCACCCGCAATTGCAACATCCATGCGGCGGCGATTGTGCTTGGTGCTGGTTGGTGCAAATCCGCAGTCGCGCAAGCCCGCGCATGTTTGCGCGCACAGCGGCCAGCTAATTTGGCGCGGTGGCGGTAACCGCTGGGCACTTCCCAACGGGCATTTCAGTGCGAGTCGGTGGTTTGGGCGGGCGCGGTATCATCGGGACGTCGAAAACGGTTGACACGAAAATGATACTTGCGATGATGGTGACGATGATGGCGCTGACGACGGCAAGGCCGATGACGGCCCCGATGTTGACCACGCTGGTGACGATGACGGTGTCGTCGCGTCGGTGATGGAGATTTTGGAAGGAATGCGACATTCGCGCGCGGCCGACGTGCTCGAGTGGCCCGCATGGAGGTATTTGTCAGAGACAGCGCCTCTCTCCCCAAGCACGCGCACAAGGGCGTTCGAATGGCTTCAACATGTGGCCCGAGAGGCACGTTTGGTCGCATTTGATGATGGTTGTTTTAAGGATTCGCAAAAGCGCGCAGACCTTGTTTTGAAACAGTGATGTTTTCCAAACGATGTGTGTAAAATGTTTTTTCGAGGCATTCGATGTTGGAGCCCTTATGACACAGCCGGTGTTTGAAGGATTCGGGCATGAACGCGCGACGACGCGCGCGTGTACACGTCGCCCCGCTTTTTGGTAAGGGGTTCTTGCGACAGCACGTGCGCAATGGCGGTTGAACGATTTAGGCATAATGGCGCGATATGCACATTTGATGAACATATTGAATACCCGATGACTTTGCATGCGTTTTCGACGGCAATTGTTGCAAGACCCTTCCGTTTAGATGTTTAGGGTTACCCGATGTTGCGAAACCCGTGGCTTTCTGTTTTAGAGAATCCGCGTGCGCGCGACGACGCGCGCGTGTGCATTGCATTCCATACGATGCAGGAGATTATTGAATAGTGATGGTGTTTGATCAACGAGTGTGTGCGCATATGATTTTTGGCAGAGGATGAGAGGGGGGATCGATCACGGACTGCTTGCGATGGTATGAATTTATATTTCGGATGCACGACGGGCCAAGAACGCATGCACATTGAAACATCAAAAGGCGGGCCATTACATCCAGGGGGGGGTTATCCGAATATTGCATTTGAAAGGAGAGTCGATGTGGTGCAATCCGTGTGGTGCGCAATCTATGTTATGCAATAAACGTGGGCCAAGCACTAGAAGTGGTGCAACCTTAGTCGTTCAATCTAGTATTGGTTCTCTATGCTGTTCAATCTATGAGTTGCAGTCTATGTGGTGCAAGCTATATGGTGCAGTCTTTGTTGCGGCGACGAGGCAGCGACGGCGGCAACAAGGCGGCGGACCCGACAAGCGAGTCCAGAGGACGGGCGGCGACGAAGCGGCGAAAGGGCGGCGACGAGGCGGCGACGGGGCGGCGACGGCGACGACATAACCGCCAGATTGGCGCGCAGGCCCAGACGCCTGGCGGCGACGAGGCGTCGACGGGGTGGCGACGGTGACGGTATAGCCGCCAGACCAGCACTAAGAGAAATAAACAACCACTAAATGCAAGCATTGTTTGGGGAAAGTGCTGGTTCCGCTCGGGCGGGGCTTTGGACGAGGATGATCCGTTCCAGAGCGTTCAGGAACGCTCTCAGAGCATCCCGGAACGCTCTGAGAAGGCCGCGGCGCCCGAGACATTCTCCAGAGCCCTTGAATCTCAGAGATTCTCGTTTTTTTCTTCACCCGATGTTATCCTCGTCCTGGCTTCGTCTTATCTGCTCTTCCCCAGCTGGACTGGACTGATATTCGAGCGCATGGCCCCTGCGCACCCCGAACACCCGCAAGAGCAGCAGCAAAATGACGACTGGCAGCCATCATTGTTCACGATGTCTGCCACGCCTTTGAGCAGTTTCTGTGACGATTCCCCAAACTATGCGTGATATCTGAAGATGGCAACACACTGGCGGAGACGATGACAACGAAGTTTCTGATTCCGTACACTTCTCTCCGTTCCCCTAAACTATGTATTTCTCGGCACACGATGTGCCAATAAGCACTGGCCGAGTAGCCTCACGGTGCCTACAAAATGGCCCTGCCACCACAGAACGTCAAACGGTAAGAAAGTGAGATGAAGGGAAGGGATTTAACAAGCTTTATTTGCAAATTCTTCGTTGACCCTTCCCAGCCCCCTCCCTCTGCTCTTTCTCATCCTCCCTCCCCGTTTCCTTTCGTCCTCCTCCGTCCTCCTACCTCTGCTCATCCTCTTCTTCTGGGCCCTCATCATATTTCCTTTCCTCCTTCTTTCCCCCTGTCGTTTTTGCCCCGTCCCTCCTCTTCTTCCCTCGTCCTCCTCCCTTTTCATCCCCCCCCTCCTCCTCCTCCGCCTCCTCGTGATCGTCCTCTGCTCTTTCCCCTATCCCCCCCCCTGTCCTGTAGAGAAGCGCTTGCGTTGGCGAGCGAGGCATTGCTCTGCTCCGGCCCCAGGAGAAGCGTCTGCACACGACGCTGCCCGCCCGCGCCTGGGCCCAGCAGCAGCAGCAGGTGCCGCGGCCCCCTGTCGTTCGTCGTCGTCCTCCCCCTCCTGCTTCTTCTGCTCATCCTCCGCCTCCTGCTCCTCCTGCTCCCCTCCCTCCTCCCACTCAACCCCAGAGAGCAACCACACGCGCCGATTGGCTGCGCGCGCCCTGAAGGCGCCGCTTCCTGGCACCGTGCGGCGGTGGCTGGTACCTCTGAGCGAAGCCGACCGGCCACGGCACCACGCGCTCGTGGCCGCGCTCTTGACCCTGCGCCGCTTGTGCCTGGAGGTGGGCGTCATCTCAGGGGGCCAGTCGAACGGGGCTAAGACGAGGATCAATTCGTTCCTGAGCGGTCTGGAACGCTCTCAGAGCGTTCCGGAACGCTCAGAAGGCCGCGGCGCCCCAGACATCTTCCAGAGCCGTTGGATCTCAGAGATTGCCGGCTTAGCCTCACCCGATGTTCTCTTTGCCTTGGCTTCGTCTTACAGCCGCGCGCGTCGCGCGGAGGGCGGGGGCCCTCAGAGCGCAAAAAAGCGGCTCGCGCCCGCTGGCCTTCGAAGGCCGGGGAGCAAAACGTATATCGACCTGGTGGGCGCCTGCCAGCTGCACAGCGGCACTGCTAGAAGGGAGCGAGGGCATGCGTTTCGGCGGCAAGCGAGGGGTGGACGTGAGAAGGAGAAGGCCTTCTCAGAAGGCGGCGGGAACCGAGCGAGACAGCTCTTTGTCGCAGGAGCCTCGGCAGTCTCATGAGCAATGACATGTTCACAGCCTCGTCCTGCGTGGAGAGGTTGGCGGCGATCGCGGTGGAGCATGCGAAGGCCAAGGAAGGCGCTGACCTAAAAGGGCGGCGCTGCCTGCATCACGCTCCGCCGGCACTAGTCAGGCCCGGCGGCGCTCGGCGGCGCTTGACGCCACTCGGCTCCAGCAGCCGGACGGTCATATGCGGCGACGGCGCTGGCTCTGGCGGAGGAGCTGGAGGTCAGAGGCCAGCAACAGATGTACGCGGACGCGGTTAGCTTCCCCTGGAGTGCGTGTCAACGCGGACGTTCGTGCAGGCAAGACCGCGGGGGGGCGTACATGTACATATGTCGTTGCTCGTCCAGGAGGGCGACTCGGCACGGCCCAGGCGCGAGGCAGCGCGGGCGCGGCGGGCTGCGATCGGCCAGGCGCGGGGCCCGCCCGAGCGGCCCCCACCCGATCCGCCGCGCGCAGGGGCCGCCCGAGCGCTACAGCCTCGACGCCGAGCGCTCGGGCGGTGGTGGTGCGGAGGCTGCGCCGAGTTCGACGACTCGAACTCGCAATCCGCCGCCTCGTCGCGGCAATCGAGCAGGCAGGCGTTGTGGCCAGGAGAGAAGCGTTGCAGAGGATGGCCGTCGCCGAAGAGTTTTTGCACTGGCGTTCTGCGCCTGTTGAAAAATATGTGATCGATGTGCTCCGGGCTCAGCTGCACCGGGGGCGACGATCTCCAGCCTCGGCGGCCACAGCTGGGCCCCCCTCGCGGAGGCGGCCAGACGCAGGGAGGACCCCTTGCCGGGTTGGCTTTTGGGTGTGGTCCCGCTGTAGCCCCCAGCTCGCTGAAAGCGATGCGAGAGCAGCGGCTGGCGCGCCTGGGTTCGGCGCCCCCGCGCCCCCCGAAAGCCGCGCACCAAAGGACCCTCTTGCCCAGGGTCACCCCTGCGTGCCCTGACACCCGCCGATGTGATTTTTTGTCTACCCACGGCCCCCGAGGTCCCGACGGCTTTACCCGAGGCAATTTTTCCTGTGGCGCCGTATCCGTCTCTGATGGCTAAAAATGACCAGCATCGTGGGGAGGATGGCGCTGGGAGAAGTGATCCGATCATTCGTGTCATCTCGTATGTTGGATGAGTCTATTGCACAGTCGTGCCATGTATCTTCCCATGCCCTTCCTCCCAACACGATGATTGCCTTCTCTCTCAGAGGGTCCCGGTCCGCCAAGCACGGCCCCCAGCAGCCAAAATCGAGGAACGACGCCTGGACTGAACAACAGTGGGGAGTGCTGGGCCCCGCCGGGGTCGCTGGCCGGGTCGGTCGAGCTGGGAGCCGCGTACCCTGGAGGGCCCAGCGCCGACCCAAAGTCCGCGGAGCTCCGACATCTTCTTCGCCAGATATGTACACTTCGTCCGAAACATCGTCGCGAGTCCACCCCGAAGAATGTCCGGGGCGGCCGACGGGGCGCTCGGGGCACCACGCGCTCCTCGGGGGAGTGGCGGGGGCCGAGGGCCGAGGCGGCGGGGCGCGCGGCTCGGCCACGGCTGGCATGGTTGTGTCTGCTCGTCGCGTGTTTCCTTTGTTTCCTGGCCTTCTCCCCTCTCCCCCCCTCCCTCTCTGCTCTCTTGCGTCCTTCCTCTCCCCCTTGGCGGTTCCGAGTTTCTGCAGATGCTTTATCCCACCTGTCGGGGTACTTCCAGGCACAGCCGGCCATCCTGGGTGGATGCCGGCGTGTCGCACTTTTGCTGGCAGATGCTTGGGCCGAGAACGCTGAGGCTCGACGTTATGAACAAAGCATGACGTCGGGGGGGTCTGGACTTGTAGGTCTGACACCTCCTCGGCGGAGCCGGCGCCGCAGCTGCCTGCAGCGTCTGCTGCTGATCGCGCCGCAGCTGCAAACGCAACCAGAAGAGCACCACTGCCGTTCTGGACGGCGCGGTCTCCTGCTGGAGGGCGCGATGGGTCCGGCCCTCCTCTCTCTTCCTCCTGCTCTCTCCTCTCCGTCCCTCTCTTGCCTCCTCCCTCCGCCCCGTGCCCTCATCTCGGGGCCGCGCACCTCGGCTCTTCATCCCGGGGCCGCGCGCCCACCCTCTCCTTATCTCCCCTGCCCACACCCCCGGGTCTGTGCCCCTCGGGGCCGGGCGCGCCCGGGCGAACCACCTGGGCCGCCCAGTCGGCCGCCAGGGTCCCGAAACCCCCGGCCGAGCGGGCCACGCGCACGCCCGGGGTTCCGAGTCCCTTATAAGGGCCGCTCCAGTCCGGCGGGTGCGCACGCGCGCTTCCCGAGGCCGCGGGCAGGGCGGGGTACACCAGGATGCGCAGGCCGCCGCGCGCGCGCACGCGCGTGCACGGGCGAGGCGCAGCTGGCGGGAAGCAGACTGGGAGGGGCATCGTGGGCGCCGCCGAGAAGTGGTAGCAGCTGCCGCGTGGGAGTCTGCGCGCAGAGGACGTCGTCGCCCGGGAAGTCGGAAGCTGGAGCATACACATTAACTACCAGTGGCGGGCTGTCTTTCAGTTCCTGGACTCTTTGGGGGTCGGGGGCGAGGTCGGGGTGGTGTGGTGTATACTTCTTGTATCCGTTTCCCGGGGAAACAACGAAACATGTATATATATATATATATATACACACCAGAATCCCGTGTACACCAGGATCCGCTGTTTGCGAATTCCAGTGCAGGGGCGGAAAACCGTCGGTGCATAGAGTGCGGCTCCTCAGGAAGAGGCTGCGCGGGAGCGGCCGTTCCGCCGCCGGCCGGCCTGCCTCCATCCCAGCCGCGGCGGTCTCGGGCGCAGGCCTCGGCGTGGCACCCGGGCGGCAGGGCGCCGCACCCGGGCACAGGGGTCGGTCAGTTGGTGGCGGGCGCGGCGAATGAATCGGCACCACGCGCCTCGGGGGGTGCCTTCCAGGAGCCTCGAAGGAGGAAAAGGTAGCTATACCGCTACCATTCCCTCGTTTTCACCTTGTTGAGCCTCGGAGGCCCTCGTTGCCACCGCTGGATTCGCTTCGAACTTCTGGTCAGAACGCACCCTGGGAGAGGTCCGGAGAGTGGCGGTATGGGTACTGGTCTTCCCAGTTCCGCGGATTTGGCGCCCACCCGCCAGACCCACGGATCGCGAATCCACGTCAGCGTGCAGGATAACTTGATCGAGGAGGGGACGGGTCGAGCCAGGCCAAGCCCTGCCCCAGAGCTCACACTAGCACGGTATACTGAAGCGATGGAGGAGTCCATGGGAGTTTGAGGCAGAGGGGGACGGCGCGGCTCCCTTCCATGAGACTCAGCCGACCCTTGGACGGCCAATTCGGGGTAGCCGGCGGGGGGAATCGGCCCCGCCTTTACCGCTGTGGACCCTCCATTCGAGTGCGCGGGATTCCACCACCGTTCCGCGGAGTCTGCTGGACGGTGCGGCCGTGGGCAGTGGCGTTCCCAGCGATGGCCAGTTGGACTCCGCAGGCATCAGGAGGAAGAATGTCACATCCCTCCTCCTTCTCGCCCCCTTCCCATCATCCGTTTCCCCGACTTCCCACTGTCTCCTCCTCATTTACTCCTCCCCCTCATCCTCCGCTTCCTCCTCCTCCACCTCCCTTTACCTCCTACGTGTTTCTCCCCCCCTTTTCTCCGCCTCGTCACATCGGCCACCTGCGGGGCCAAGAGGCGCAGTGCCACGTGTCCAGTGTCCTCCCAGCCCCCTTCCGCCCCTCGCCCTTTCCGCCCCTCACCCTCTTATCCCCATCGCCCCTCCGCCCTCGAGCCTCCTCCCCCCCGCCTTCTGCCCTCCCCCTCTCGCCCCTTCGACATCGCCCCTTCCCTCGCACCTCCCCCCCTTCGCACCTCCCGCTCGCCCCTCGCACCTTCCCCCCTCGCATCTCCCCCCCCCGTTTTCCCTTCCGCCCCCCCCCCCCCACCGCCTTGTGTGGCCCCCCTCGGCGGCCCTCGGCCTTCCTACCCTCGGGGGGATCCTCGGAAAAGCCGGAGGGGGAACCCACTCGGAGGATCCTTGGCGGAACCTCGCCGCCCCCCCTCGGGCCCTCCGCCCCTCCGCCCCCGCGCCCGCCGCAGGGGGCGACCCCGCGGCCGTCCTCGGGGGCCACGGCGCGGCGGCCCTCCTCGGAGGCCGCGGAGCGGCCGCCCTCGGGGGCCGCGGAGGAGCGGCCGCCGCGCGCGGAGGCGGTGGAGCGGCCGCCCGCGAGCGCCGCGGCGCGGCCGCCCTCGGAGGCCGCGGAGCGGCCGCCCTCGGGGGCCGCGGAGGAGCGGCCGCCGCCCGCGGAGGCCGTGGAGCGGCCGCCCGCGGGCGCCGCGGCGCGGCCGCCCTCGGGGGCCGCGGCGCCGCCGCCGCGGCCGTGCCAGCCCTCGGACACCACAGCGCTGCCCGCGCGGCCGAGGACGGCGGTTTTTCCCGGCGGGGTGCACCAGGCGGAGGGGAGGCGGAGGGGGGAGGAGGAGGAGGAGGAGGAGGAGGAGGAGGAGGAGGAGGAGGAGGAGGAGGAGGAGGAGGCGGAGGAGGAGGAGGAGGCGGAGGAGGAGGAGGAGGGGGGAGGAGGAGGACCAGTGTAAACACACGAGTCATCAACGATATCGGAATTAACCCTCCCTCCAAGCTCCCTCATCATAGGCCCTTACAGCGGTTCAATTCCCTTGAGGGAACTGCCTCGTTGGAAGACAACCGCCTTCAATATTTGAAGCTCTTGCAATCCGGGAAGCTCTTGTAAATGTTCAAAGCGAGTGTGCGCGGCGCTAAGCGCTAAGGCGAGAGCCACATTTTGAAAACGACCCGCCCTCAACCCGTGAAATTCTTCAATTTTAAGTCGAACGCGCGCGGCGCTAAGGCGAGAGCCGCATTTTGAAAAGGAGGTGCCTTCAATTCGTGAAACTATTGCAACTTGTTCCAAAGAATGTGCGCGGCGCTACGGCGAGAGTCACATTTTGAAAACGACCCGCCCTCAATCCGCGAAATTCTTAAAATGTTCACAAAAAATGCACGCGGCGCTAAGGCGAGAGCCACATGTTGAAAACCACCCGCCCTCAATCCGTGAAGCTCTTGAACATTTGTAATGCGAATGCGCGCGGCGCTAAGGCGAGAGCCGCATTTTGAAAACCACCCGCCCTCCATGTGTGAAACCGTTGAAACGTTTTAAGCTTCAGCGTCATAAATGGTGAGGAAGTCTCAGGCGAAACGCCCAGCCCGCCCTAAAAACTGGCCTAGGGGTGCAACAGGGAAGGGTTATCTATATGGAGAAGGAATGGAGGAGGAGGAGGAGGAGGAGGAGGAGGAGGAGGAGGAGGAGGAGGAGGAGGAGGAGGAGGAGGAGGAGGAGGAGCAGCAGGAGCAGCAGGAGCAGGAGCAGGAGCAGGAGCAGGAGAGAGGAGAGAGGAGAGGAGGAGAGGAGGGGGGAGGAGGAGGAGGAGTAGGAGGAAGAGGAGGAGGAGGAGGAGGAGGAGGAGGAGAAGGAACAGGAGGAGCGGGAGGAGGAGGAGGAGGAGGAGGAGGAGGAGGAACAGGAGGAGGAGGAGGAGCAGGAGGAGCAGGAGGAGGAGGAAGAGGAATTGCCGCCATAATGGTTCGAAGAACTGGGCTGCACCGTGCACCGCGAGGCAGTGCTGCCCCACGCCTCGCCGCAGAGCCCCGAGGCGCGAATGGATGTGGTTGTCCATGCACCAGGCGTCCTGGCGCCACTCCTTATCGGCCTCGCGGTCGTGAGTGCAGCCTCGCAGGGCGCCTGGGCGAACGGGGCTGCGAGGCGGGACGGAGCGGCTGCCGCCGCCGCAGAGCGCCGGAAGTGAGCTCGCTACCCTGGCGTGCTGGTGATCCCGTTCGTCGTTGAAGACCACGGGAGATTCGGCGTGGAAGCGGCCGCCCTCGTGCGGCAGCTCGCGCCGCGGGGAGCGCGGCGCTTTCCGCTGCCATCCAGCAGCTCTACCAGAGCCTGGGGGGCGTGCTGCAGCGGCACGCCGCGGACGCGGTCCTCTCGGCCACGCAGGCGCGGCCGTGGCGGGCCGCCGCCGCGCTCGCGCCGGCGCAGCGCGGGGCCGCCGCGCTGCCGCCTGGAGAGCCTGGAGCGCCGCAGTTGGGTGCAGCCCCAGGCTAAGGCCGCGCGCGCGCCGCCGCCAAGCGCCAGCCACTGGGTCAGGGCCGCGGGCGGGCGCCGCGCTGGGCCGCTGGGGCAGGGAGGTCGCGGGGCGCCGCCGCTGTCGAGGGCGGGCCCCGGGCGCGGGGCTGGCGAGGGCGCAAACTCGCGCCGCACCGCGGCCGCGGGCGGCGAGGCTGGCGGCGCCGGCGGGGCGGCGCGGCGCTGCCGGGCAGGGGATCGAACGCCGCGGGGCCGGGCGCGCGCCGGGCGGGGCCGTGGGCGGCTCCTGCGCAGAGGCGGCGAGCTGGAGACTGGAAGGCGCCTGGCGGTGGGACCGCAGGGCGCGGCTCTCCACGCCATCGTCGCGAGGTCCGCGGCGGCCCCGTGCATCGGAATTCATAGGCCCCGGTGGGCACGCCCCCTCGGCTCCAGGACCAGTCGCCGCTGAGCGGTGCGCTGGTTCCGGGGTTGGGGGTTTGCGCCCGCTCCCGATGAAAGTGCTCAGGCGCGCGGACAACGCGCTCGCCGCTCGGAGGAGGAGGAGGAGGAGGAGGGGGAGGAGGAGGAGGAAGAGGAGGAGGAGGAGGAGGAGGTGGAGGAGGAGGAGGAGGAGGACGACGAGGACGAGGACGAGGACGAGGAGGAGGACATCCGCCCCCTTCCTGTCGCAGCGATACAAGTCAGGACGGGTTGCTTCGGCTAGTTTTCGGTCCCAGGGGGCCTTCGCCGGGCCCAGGGCATGCGACAAGCGTCGGGGACCTTGAGGCGGGGGTCAACGCAAACGCGGGCCAGCCAGTGCGCCAGACCTTGCAGGATCCTGCGGGGCCAGGGGCGCATTGACCCCGGACTGCAAAGCCTGAGTGACCCAGGTTGGCACTGACCCAGGCCAGTGCGTTCCCGAGAGTCGCTCAGGAGGAGAAGTCGGTTAAGCAGACAGGGGTCCAATTTGTGAAGAATTTGGAGTGTTCAGACGCCCCCCTTTAGGGGGGAATGGGGACAGGGGGGAGAGGAGAAGGGGGAGGCGGAGGCGGAGGGGGAGGAGGAGCGGGAGGAGGAGGAGGACGAGGAGGGGGAGGCGGAGGCGGAGAATCTGAGGAGGAGGAGGAGGAGGAGGGAGGGAGGAGGAGGAGGAGGAGGAGGGAGGAGGAGGAGGAGGAGGAGGAGGAGGAGAGGACAAGGAGGAGGAGGGAGGAGAGGAGGAGGACGGGTAGGAGGAGGAGGGCGAGGTAGAGGAGGAGGTAGAGGAGGAGAAGGAGGAGAAGGGGGTGAGGAGGAGGAGGAGGAGGAGGAGGAGGAGGAGGAGGAAGAGGAAGACGAGGAGACGAAGGAGGAGGAGGAGCAGCAGCAGGAGGAGGAGGAGGGGAAGACGAGGAGGAGGAGGAAGGAGGAGGAGGAACAGGAGGAGGAAGAGGAGGAGGACGAGGAGGAGGCCCCTTGCGTGCATAGCAGGGGCCCCGTCAACGACTCGGAGATAGCCCGGGCACCCCCCACCGGTGGAACCGTTGAGGCGGTCGGCGGCGCCTGTATTGGCGGGGTATACATTGAGTCGGGGACCTGGCCTCAGGGCTGGCGGAAGCGGGTATAGGGCGCGCCCGCCCGTGGGGGGGCGATCGGGGGTTGGCGACCGGCGCCCCCCTCCCCCTTGCTGGGTCCCCCCCCCCAGCTATGGGTCCCCAGGCCGTATCCGCCGCTCGCCGCCCACTCGGGTGAGGCCGGTAGTGCGTCTGCGCGGCAAAGCCCATGCAGCCGTGCAGCGCACGGCGTTTTGCGGCGGCGCTCGGCGCGGGCGCGTTGCGCCGTGCCGCCGTGCGGTACCGTGTCACTGTGCGGGTCGCGCGGGCGCGTTGCACCACGCGACAGGGGCCTTGCGGGCGCATCTCGCCGTGGCCAATGGGCTCTGGCTCATGCGGAGGAGCCGCGCTGCGGTTTGTGTTTCCCGCCTCGATGGCCGCTGCAGTTTCAGCATCTTTTTTCAGCAGCTCCTGTGAAGCGCTGTGGACGGCAAAAAAGAAGAGAAGGAGGAGGAGGAGGAGGAGGAGGAGGAGGAGGAGGAGCAGGAGGAGCAGCAGGGAGGTCATCACAGGGACGTGAAGGCAACCGCGCCTCGTGGGTCGCTGCCTGGTTGCCCGAGAGCGCGCCCTTTTCCAGAGGGTGCGGAGCGAGGGCCCAAGAGGGCGCGAGGAAAACCCCGCGTCGCGCATTGCGGGTCCCGCTTCGCGAAGTCAGGTGAGCAAGAGGAAAGGGGGCCGAGATTCAATGATCGAGGCTTCAGGATCGAATACTTTGGACGCGTGCGTGCGTGTGTGTGTGTGTGTGTGTGTGTGTGTGCTTGTGTGTGTGTTTGTGTGTTTGTGTGTGTGTGTGTGTGTTTGTGTGTGTGTGTGTGTTTGTGTGTGTGCGTGTGTGTTTGCGTGTGCTGGCCCGTTCTGGTGGTCCAAAGACCCCAGGGGACCTCCGGAAGGCTTTGGGGACCTCCAGACAGCCCGCTTCCTCATGTTCGGCCAACTGTCCTCCTGCCTCCCCCCCTATCCCCCCTCCTCTGCCCTCTTCTGTCCTCCTTCTTCTCCGTCGTCGCCGTCGGCCTTCATTCCCTTCGATCGACTCGAAGTTTTAACGCATATGATAGCTGCATGGATGGAGGGCGGTTTCTTTTTCACATGGGGCTCTCGCCTGAAACGTCTTCGAACTTCAGACGTGCAACCTTGTGCAACGGTCACGCGGATGGGGGGTCGGTTCCTTTTCCGAACGGGGGCATCGTTGGGCATTTTTTGGTTCTTGTGAGTACACCTTATCGCAATCTTTAACAATCGCTAGAAAGCCACCAGGCAGCCAACTCCTTTTGAAACCAGGCTTTTGTCTGAATGGCGGACCCATCGGGTGCTTGACTGAATGGCTTCTAAGGGGTCGCCTACCGCAGTGAAGCGATATGCTTGGACGGGCGGAGGAGGAGGGGAGTTGGGGCGTTAGCGTGTATTGCAGCATCGTTCATGCATCTTGGGTTTACTTTGGCCATACTCCTCCTCCTCCTCGTCTCCATTTCCTTCCGTTTATCAGACGAAAGGGGGTGAACATGCGTTGAACCGGCTCCCTTGTACAGTCTTCACATGTTGGTTACGCTTTCGCAAAATATAGAGATTGAGTGCGTTTCAGACGCGCTGCCTTCGTCAAATTCTAGGCATCGCGCATCCAACGCCAATGCCGAGGTGTTACAGCGAGCGTGACGTATAAAGCTCAGCGACTTCCTATTGCAACGGCAGTTGGTTTTCTGTTACATTGCACGCCAGTGCAACGAGGTTCCTGTCGGGCGGGGGGGTTTTCCAACCTTCCTCTTCCGACATGACGCAGCAACCCGGCCGCCGAAAGAGGGGCATGCCCTGGCAGGCGTGGGCGTCAAAATTGCACAAGGATGCGCAGCGTGTTTGTCGCGATATTGGTTGCAATACGACTAACGTGGACACGTTTTGTTCCCCAACCCTCCCTTGGCTGGGTGCTCGTTTTGAATCGAGCAGTTGGGTCTCCATCTTCTCGCCCCCTCCCCCCCGCTCCCTTCTCGGCTTTCTCCTCTCGCATGCCTCTTGGGCCTGCGATGTGTGAAGCTGCCGCCACTTTCGAGGGCTGTTAGGGGAGCAGTGGGGCCCGGCGCAGACCCGAACGGGACCTCGCCATCCATGGGGGGTAGCGACGTGTGAAATTGCCGCCACTTTCGAGGGCTGTTGAAGGAGCCCACACAGTGGGGCTCCACGCACAGCCGAATCGGACCTCACCATCGCAGGGGGGGGGACTGCGAATCGTGAACATGTCGCCACTTTCGAGGGCTGCTGGGGGAGGCCAACACAGCGGGATCCCACGCAGATCCAAGCGGGACCTCGTCATCCGTTGGGGGCTGCGAAGTGTGAAACTGTTATCACTTTCGAGGGCTGTTGGGCGGGCCAGCACAGCGGGGCCCCACGCAGATCCAAACGGGACCTCTGTTCTGCGAATCGGCCACGCACATTTCGCACGATATAGATATCCGCCGTGCACCGTCTCTTGCAGCATCGGTGTCACACTATTGTCGGCGCATTTTACGTCATCCCTCGATGCCCATGGGTTGGGTACGTCACACGGTAATCAGCGGAAACCTGTACAACGGTGCGCAAGTATATTGTTTGGCGCACGCTCGTGCCATTGCTCACGTGCCTACGGGCACGCGATTTTATTCACTCATTCATGCAGCCGTGCATGCGATACCATTGCGCGGCCTGCCATGGCACATGGCAGTACATCATGGTATAGCATTGCGTAGCGCAGCATTGCTGCGCGAACGGTGCAGCCAGAAATCCAAGCTGGGGATCGTCAGTTTGGATATGAGGCCAGATGCCAGGGCTGCAGCGGGAGCCACATTTGAAGGACCGATTGCGCGGAAACGAGGCCATCGCTGCAGCGGGAACACCATTCCGTAGAAATGAGACGACCCGTTCAGCGGGAACACGATGCTGAAGGACCCGAATCGCGGCATCGAGCTGAGCGTTGCAGCGGGAACACCTCTTTGATATCGGAATGGAAAACCAGCACATGGAAAACACAAGTTGTTGAACTCTTGTGTGCGAGAAACAATATGTGGAGAAGGTGGACCATCGTCAGGGCAGAGTCATGGATGGATGGGAGGGGAGTAGATTCAGACTGTGTGATTGTAGGGGGGGAGGGACGGGGCGGAGGAGGAGGAGGGGGGGGGAGGAGGAGGAGGAGGGGGGCAGGAGGATGGGGAGGGGGGAGTAGCACGGGGAGGAGGAGGAGGAGGAGGAGGCGGAGGAGCGGGAGGGGGAGGAGGAGCGCAATGAGGAATAGCACGAAGGGGAGGATGAACAGGAGGAGGAGGTGGAATCATAATATGTAAACAAACAAGACCAACACGAATACTAATAATGCTGATCATCTTACGAGTAATAAGACGAATGATAATATTTGGCGTGGAGGTAGATCACGCAAAACAAGTAATAATATAAGCGACATTGGGGGAACAAACAATAATATGGTTTAGGGCTCTAGGGCTATAAGGCTATAGGGCTACTGGGCCATAGGGTTATAGGGCTATTGGGCTATAGGGCTATGGGGCTGTAGGGCTATAGGGCTATAGACCTATAGGGCTATGAGGCTATAAGGCTATAGAGCTATTAGGGCTTTAGGGCTACAGGGATATAGGGCTATAGGGCTGTATAGAGCTACCGGGTACCTGGGCACCCGGGCACCTGAGCACCCAGGCACCCTGGCACACGGGCACGCGGGCACCAGAGCACCCGGGCACCAGGGCTCCCAGGCACCCGGGCACCCGGGAGCCCGGGCACCCCCGGGCACCCGGGCACCCGGGCGTGCGGCGAAAATCGGCGGCAAACCTAACCTAACCATATGAATCCGCTTGGACCCCTACAGAGGCAAACTCTGACGGGGGAATAATAAAAATAATAATCATCATCATAATTATATTATCCATATATTAAAAGTACTACGGCTAATAAGCATGATAGTGCCACTCTTTAACCATGACAGCATTCATACTAATATGAGTAAGAAAAATGATATTCGCAGTATTAGTAATAATATTAATGATGCGAGTAGTGCGAAACATGCTCACAGTGCTGATGTCCATGCGAAAGAGAATAAAGTGAGGAGCAGAACATAATAACAACCATACAACGAATAACATTGCTACGAACCATGAAGCCAATACACAATGATAATACGAATGACGATACTAGCAACACAATTGAGAATACTAAGTAGATGAAGAAGAAGAGGAATACAAAGAGTAGGGGGAGGATGACGAAGAGGACGAGGAGAACGAGGAGGAGGAGGTCGGAGGAGGAGGAGGAGGAGGAGTGGGAGGAGGAGGAGGAGGAGGAGTGGGAGCAGCAAGAGGGTGAGGACGAGGAGGACGACGTCCGTAGCCATTGTGGCTCATGTCCGTAGTGCTTCGCTCAGGGACTTGGCATCTGGCGTGGAGGTGATTCCGGCCCCCGCAGCTTGCCCAGGCGTGTGCCCGCCTGGCTCAATCTTTCACTACGTTCCCCTTAGGGTACCCCTCGGCCCCTCACGCTCTGGCCCGATGGTGCCTGCTGGGTCTTCTCGTCGTCCCTGGGTGTACTCCGAGGGTGCCGAGAACGAAGAGTGGCACATCAAAGGTCGCGGGCGCGGAGGCAAGTTCAGCTCGATTCCCTGTGGTGTTTGCGGTTGTCGCAAGAACTTGTCACACTTAAAGTGGTGCAAGCACTGCAAGTCACCCCTGGTGCATGTCGCCCCCGTGGAGCCCAAGCCGCCCGGTGGTCAGTGGGCCCTTCGCGACAGATGGCAGGGTGCAGACTTCTCTGGCGCGGGCAAAAGCAAAGGGAAGATGGACAAGGGCAAGGGCAAGGGCAAGTGCAGTGATGTCGTCGGCGCTGCTGGCGGTGGTCATGCTCTTCCCCCTGGCCCAGTTCCTGATCTGTCGGCTAGTGAAGCGGTTTGCTGAGCTCTGTCGGAAGGCAGGTGATGCAGTCAGTTCTCGGTACTATGAGCAGCTGGCGTCCCCCTTGGTGGCTCCCAAGCCCAAAGATGATGTCGTGCCTCCGCAACAGCGTGTGCAGCAGGTGGCCGCGGACATTAATAAGAAGGAGCGCAAGCTGGAGCACGAGTTTGCCAAGCTCTGTCGTTTGCGTTCTGAGCTCGAGGATCAGAAGAACCTGGCGCTGCAGTGCAAGTCTGAGCTTGCCGAGGCTGGCGCGCAGTACAAGTCTGTGGTGCAGGAGATGGCCTCGGCGACGTTGCCCAAGGAGGTCGCCCCATCTGTGTCGCAGGCGGTCATCGAGGATCCTGCGACGGCAAAGTGGCTTTTGACTCCCTCTTCAACTTGGACAGTCTCTTCAATGTGCAGAAGGAGGTTGGGGAGTTTGAGCTCTCGCCTGAGGACGAGCAGGAGCTCGCGGCTCGCAATCAGACTTTGTCGGGCTCCATCAAGGAACTGGCCTCCAAGCTCTTCGAGGGTGCTCTCGAGGCGTCGGCCGCCGCAAAGGCCAGCCATGAGGACCGCAAGAGCAGGCTCACCAGGTAGAAGCGCAAGATTGAGGAAGGTGTTGCTGCTGGGGGCTCTGCTGCCGCTCCGCCTGCTGGTGCTAGCGAGGCAGTCGGCAGCTCCCTCGTTGCTGCTGAGGCAGGAGGCTCTCCTCCGCCAGAAGCCCTGGCCCCCGCCGCCGTTGCCCACTTTGGGCACGTCGGGGACATCAGGGTGCGGGTCGAGCGCGAGCCGTCAGGGGCGCCCCCCTCCGCTGGGCCAGCTTCAGCGTGAGGGGGTGATTCGGGATTCGCGTATTGGCAGCTGGCTCTCGTCATCGATGTCGTGTTCGTCATCCTCTTCGACCATTTCTTCTGCGCAGTCTGGTGGTCTTGCGGCTGCAGCACCCGACATGAAGGGGAGCTGCGGCACATCTCGCTGCTGCAGTTTCGACCTCGTCTGCTGAGGAAGGCCCCAGCCTCTGGCGACCTGGAGCACCACCCCCCCCCCCCCCCGCCCCCCCCTCCCCCCCCCCCCCCCCCCCCTCCCCCTCCTTTTTAAACGTTTCGCACAATGTGTCTGGGCTGACGTGTGCGAGGCGCTCTGGACAGTCCTGGGAGGAATCGATCGGTTCTCTCTTTCTTGTTCTCTCTCTCTCTCTCTGTCTCTCTCTCTCTCTCTCTCTCTCTCTCTCTCTCTCTCTCTCTCTCTCTCTCTTTCTATCCCCCCCACTTTGCGCTCGGCCAGGCCAGCGCGTATCAGGGCCAGAGGCTGAAGGCGAGGGCGCGCCATTCTTGTTGCCTGAGCTCGCAGTTCTCTGTGATGAATTCATTTCAGGTGCTGGGGCAGACCCTGCCATTCGCGATATTTGCGACTGGATGGAGCCCCGGCCTGTGCAGCCGATGCATTCTCGTTGTGCGCGTGCCGCCAGCAGACGCGCGAAGGGCAAGTGCCCCTTCTTGTTCTCCGCATTTGTGCAGTCACAGCCAGCGCCTTTGTCGCCAACGCGGCGGTCTCCAGAGTCCGAGGTCCCAGGTCCATGGCCCCGCCAGGTCCCGGCCTTGTCCGAGTCAGTTGCCCTCGCCATCTGGACTGTGAGCGCCAACGCTTGGGGCGCCCTCCTGGACCTTCTGGAATCGGAGCCCGACGCGCACATCTTGCTGGTCCAGGAACATCGTCTGCGGGATCCTGAGGTCCTTCATCGTGCCTCGTCGAGCTGTCTTCGGTCGGGCTGGAAGTCTAGATGGGTGCCGGGCATTTCTGGCCCGCAGGATTGAGATAGCTCGGGTGTAGCGGCTCTAGCTCGTGAGTGGCTTGGCTTGTTTGATATTGATGGTGGCAGCTTGCTCGACGGCAGAGTGCTGGCTTGCATGGCGCATGCGCCCGCTTCGCCAGCTTTCTGCCCCTGTTCGCTGCGTCTGGGGCATTCGGCGGGCCTCGGCGCGGCTAGCTCGGGCGCGCCCGCCAAGCTCGGAGAGTTCCTGTCCAACAATGATAGCGAGTTTGTCGTAGCAGGTGATTACAACTTTAATCTAGCGGTTTTGCATTCCTCGCGGATCGTCTCCCAACTGGGGGCCCACCCGGCGATTGCGGAGGCCCGCGCCCGCTTCCCCTCTCAGGGCAGGCCTGGCGCTTTTGACGACTTTGTCGTTTCGGGTGGTCTCGGCAAAGGAATCAGCGGCATCAGCGTTGTGGAAGGCTCTTCGTTGCACCCCCACAGGCCTGCGAGCCTGCGTTTCTACCCCCAGCTCGTGCGCCTCGAGGCCCTTGCCTTTCGCGAACCTCCTCCTTTGCCTACCGCTCCCCCTGTGGGACCGGCTCGTCAGTTGCGTGATGAGGACTGGGTCAAGGTCTTCGACTTTGTTGGGGAGGCTGGTGCCGGTGCCGTCGCTCGCGTGGCACTCTTGCATCAGCTGTGGGCCGATCAGGCCGAACTCGACCTGGTGCGTTTGCTTGGCTGTGAGTCGCCGATCCATGGGTCCCGAGGCAGACCGGTGGAAACTTTTTGAAAGTGCATCGTTAAGCCCCTCAAGCCCCCTAAAGGCTCCATGCTCAGAGGCCTCAGGCGGCTTGAAAGTCAGGTGCGCGCTCTCCTGGCTGAGCTCGAGGCTCTCGGGGCCCGCGACGGCATGTCTACGTGCATAGTGGAGTCGCCCAAGGCACCGCCCCCCTCCGTCGCTGCTGCAGCTGTTGCGCACGAGGGCCTTTTTTCGTCGAGCGGCAAGCTTAGTGGTTACTGCTTCTGTCTTCTGCGATCTTAATCAGGTTTTCCAAGATTGCGAGGATTTTCTCACCGCCGATCTTGCCCCGCCGGTTGCGAAGGCCAAGGTGGGCGCGGTCGCGCGCAGCGCGGCTTCCTGGAAGGAGCGGCTCCAGGAGGGGCTCGACTCTGGTGGCATGCGTGCCCGCATTGCTCTTCGGGGCCCCGTGCCCTGGAAGGCGACGACCACCCTCGTTGGCCATGGTCGGATTCGCGCTGGCCCCCGCTCCTTTCTCCAGGCCGAGGACCTCAAGTTCAGCAAGCTTTGGGGCCCTAGCATGGGCCCCGACTTGGGCCCTGTGGAAATCAGTGAAGCCTTGCCGCAGCTGCCCCCCAACGAGTTGCGCAGGCTCAGCCGCTCGCGCAGGTAGTCCAGTGCTGTTTCTGAGGATGGATTCCACTTCAGGCATTGCTGCCTCTTGAACGATGCCGCGCTGGAGGCTCTGGCGGGCATCGCGTGGGTCGTCGAATCGGTCGGTCGTCGTCCCCGGCAGGTGTCCGTCGCTCTGTCGGCGCTTCCGGGGAAGGCCTCTGGACGCTTTCGGCCGATAGGCGCGTTCGTTTCCTGGCGCAGGTCGCGGGGCAGAGCTCGTCGCCCCCCGGCCTTCCAGTGGGAGTTCGACAACCCCAGAGCCCACAGGGCGGCAGGCGCCCGCAGAGGGGCGGACGACGTCGTTTGGCGTCAGGCCGTCAAGGTTGAATCTGGCGTCGCTTCTAAGCTTGTGTCAGCGCCCCTGCTTTGGGGCGCGAAGAACAACTGCGAGGGCATTTCGCTGGGGTGTTTGGAGCATCGGTGCTTGCGGCATAACTTCCCTCGTTGCATCGCCCGAGTGTGCCTGGGGGCCTATCGTTCGGTTCGGTAGCTGTCTCTCGGAGGGATCCTGGACGGGCCCTACTGGGCCCTCTCGGGGGTCATTGTTGGCGGCTCGATTGCCACGGGTTTTATTTGAGTTCTCGCGATGTCTGCTATCCATGAGATTCCCATCCAAGTCGGCACTGATTTCGATGCCTACATCGACGACACAGACTTTCGGACAAGCACGCCTCAAGATGCGGTGTCAGGCTCGGTCTTGAGTCCGCGTGGCCTTCACAAGGCCACCGCGGCAGTCTTAGGTTGCTCCCTGGCCATTGACAAAATAGGCTTGGTGAGCAGCAGCAAGCAGATCGCCCGGCAGATTGAGCTGCAGCTTGGCGCTCTGGCTGGGGAGCCAGCCCCGTCCGTGATCAATTCAGGTGTGGACTACACGGCTGGGCGTGCACTCCGCGCTCGTGGCGCGGACAAAGGCAAGTCTAGTAGGTTCGAGGAGCGCCGGGCGCTCGCCGGGAGGAAGACCCTCAGGTTGTGCAAACATAAGGAGGTCCTCGGCCAGAAATCTCTCCGAAATTTCACCGCGGGCCCCTTGCCGAGCGGCTCCTACGGCGCTGAAGTGTTTGGCATCAGTGATACCGAACTGCACTTGTTCCGCTCCCTGGGGATGTCGACGATAGCTCCTAAGTCGCAGCGCCGTCCTTTGATTGTGATCTCCCTGCTGGAAGGAGATCCGCAGTGGCGTGTTAGCATAGCTTCTTTGGTTCGCTACGCCAAGGAGTTGTGGTTGCCGCAGACTAGGCAGCTTGCGGGATCCCTTTCTGTCAAGCTTCTCCGTGAGGCGTGGGCCCAAGTGTTTGGCAGGGACGACTGGTGTTGGGCCAAAGTCTCTGGGCCCTCAGTGCTTTTCGGATGACCCGCTATAGGCTCGGGTGGACCATGGCGTCTTTCTGCGTGTGTGTGTGTGTGGACGACAGGGGGTTCTCCCTCAACCTCCTCATTCCCTCCCCAAGCTTGTCGCCCAGTTGGCCGGAGCTGCGGCGCCCGGGGGGGTGGAGAGAGATTCTGGCCCCAAGTTTGGGGTGACCCACTCTCTGTTGGGACATCGTTCGGGAAAAGCTTCGTTCTAGGAATCTTGGCTATTAGGGTAACTCCACCATGAGGCCGCTCGCCGGCAACGCCATCGGGACCAGCCTGGCTGCCAGGAATGCTGGCTACGACGCCCCTGCGGTCTGTGGACTGTGTGGACAGCATGATGACACGCTCTGGCATAGGGTATGGCAATGTCCAGCTTGTGCTGCCGAGCGTGAGCGCCTCGTTCCCGAAGATATTATTGCGCTGGCCTTGGACGCTGAATCTGAACAGTATGAGTATACCTTGTTTGTGCATGGAGCACATCGTCACCCAGGAGATGATTTGCCCAAGCCCTCAGCGGACGGTGCAGTCCATGTGGGTTGGTATGTGCCCGAGGCCTTGCTCCCTGGAAGCCCAGGCCTTGTCAAGACACATCCTGACCTCGGTCTCTGGGGCTTTGTTTTCCTGGATGGCAGCTGTTTCAAACACCCTGTGATTGAGCTTTCCCGTTCTGCTTGGTGCCTGGCCATGACGGGTGAAAACGCCAACTTGCTGTGCGAAACTACGGCCCCATGTCTGGGCCCCCTACCCTCAGAGCCCCCAGGCTGCGGAGTTCGGGGCGTTTGGGGCTCTGATTTTTTCTTTGGAGGCTGGCGCTGGGTGTTTCAGCGACTACAAGAATGTTGCGGGCCTTTTTCTCCAGGGCCTTGGCAGGCGTTTGTCGCCCAAGCTCCAGTATGCGGGGCTTCTAATTCATGGGGTTTCTGGGGCTGGTTCGAAAATAACCAGCCTGAACAAGGTAGATGCTCACAGGGATCTCGATGCGTTAGGCATCGCCGCCCACGATAGGTCTACCAGGCGCGGCAATCATTTTGCGGATGCGGGGGCCGTGCGCGCAGTCAATTGTCACCCCAGTTTTCCGGCAGAAGTTTTGGAAACGGTGGATTTAAAGTCGAGATCGCCAGGTGTGTAATGGACCTTGTTGCTGCCGTGCTTCCCCTTTTTCCTCGGGTGGAGTTTCGGGGGTTGGAGCGGGTTCCTCCTCCTCCTGCTCCTCCTGCTGAAAGAAGAGTCCCTCACCGATAGGCGTTTATGTTTGGTTTCTGGCGCTGCAGAGTGTGCCTCAAAGGTTCGACCAGCGCCTCTTGTCCAGCCGAGGGCTCGCGTCGTGGCCACAGCGGGTTCGACAGCGTCGTATTGGATCGGCTCCAGCACCGCGTCCTTGCCCCCGAGGCAAGTGACAATTCGCATGTTTTCTTTTGCCTCAGATGTCGGTCGTATTCCTCTGGTGCTCAGGTGTGTAACTTGGGCAAGGTGTGTAAACCTCCGACTACTGCAGGCAACCGAAACTGGACCACGACCAGACAAGGGAAGCACCCTGACAAAGCAGGGGTGAGTCTCAATCTCGACTTGGTAAAATCTGGATTCCCGTATGTTTCGCGCTGCTGCAGGACTCAGCTTCCAGACTGCAGCTTGGTTTGAGGCGCCGTGGATGGCACAAAAGCGAGGAGGACGACGATGAGGCGGAGGAGGAGGAGGAGGCGGAGGAGGAGGAGGGAGGAGGAGGAGGAACAGGAGGAGGTGGATGAGGAGGAGGAGGAGGAGCAGGGGGAGGAGGAGGAGGAGGAGGGAGAAGCAGGAGGAGGAGGAGGAAGAGGAGGATCGGGAGGAGGAGGGGGGAGGAGGAGGAGGAGGAGGAGGAGGAGGAGGAGGAGAAGAGGAGGAGGAGGAGGGGGAGGAGGAGGAGGAGGAGGAGGAGGAGGGGGAGGAGGAGGAAGAAGACGAGTACGTAGGAGGAGGTGGAGGAAGAGGAGGAGCAGCAGGAGGAGGCGGAGGAGGGGGAGGAGGAGGAGGAGAGTGAGCGGCAGGGAGGGGGGCACGGGGAGCAGGGCGAGGGGGAGCGGGAGGAGGTGGAGTGGGCCCCACAGGAGGAGGAAGAGGAGGAGGAGGAGGAGGAGGAGGAAGAGGAAGGAGAATAAGAAGAATAATAATAAGAAGAAGAAGAGGAGGAGGAGTTGGAGGAGGAAGAGGACTCTGCTCGACTTTACTACGATGCCACACACGCGGCCGCTGCCACCGTCAGCAACTCTCATCGCTGGTCGCTCGGCCAAAGCTGACAGCAACGCTACATACGTGCCACGAAACTCTCAGGGCATTCCATACGTGCCAAACACATTCAGCGTCATGCGAGGCGGCCTCCGCAATACAGTGCCAAGAAGCAGGAGGGGAGCAGCAGAGAGGCCTCTGCAGCCACAAGTCTTGTGCCTTCCTTCCATCGGGGGTCCCAACCCCCAGCCCGCCACTCCGCCGCCTATTCAGAGGGCCCACTCATTCGCCGCCGATCCACACACACACACAACTCACGATACCACATCTGGATGCCGCCCTAAGCCTCCCGCCTCTCTGAGGTCGGGGACCCTGGCAACCCCTCGGCCACCGCGTGTGGAGCGCGCTGCGACTCTTAACGGGGCCCAGAGCCACATCCACAGCCCGTAGGCAGGTGGCCCGTACTAGAGCCTCCCCCGCCTGCGCAGCAGGTCGGAGCGACCCCGGCCCCACGCCCTTTAGACCCGCCCAGGCACAGCTGGGGGGCGCCTGGAGTGGGGCTGCACGGCAAAGAAGGGCCGAACCCCGCGGACCAAGTCCGCACCTGCCAGGGACCAATCCAGGGAGTGCGTGCAAGGCCCACGGGGCACGGCTCTTCCTACCGCAGCGCAGCCCCCACACACAAAGTCCACGATTTGGCGGACTTCAGTTCCATCGGGGCCCCGACGCGCCGCCCCCGCGCCGAGGCACCCCTCCAGGGGCAGGAGGAGGAGGAGGAGGAGGAGGAGGAGGAGGAGGAGGAGGAGTAGGAGGAGGAGGAGGAGAAGAGGAGGAGGAGGAGGAGAAGGAGGAGGAGGAGGAGGAGGGCTGGGAGGAGGAGGAGGAGGAGGAGGAGGAGGAGGAGGAGGAGGAGGAGGAGGGAGGAGGAGGAGGAGGAGGAGGAGGAGGAGGAGGAAGAAGAGGAGGAGAAAGCATGCCGCCGCCCAGCAGCTCGGGCTCCGCCGCGGGCTCCAGCAAGGCCGGCCTGGGGGGGGGGAGGGGTGCGGGGCCCTGCACGGGCTGCCTTCGCTTCGGCATTGTCCCAGGGGCTTCGGGGGCATTTCGCTGAGGGTGGGTAAAACGATGCGAAGATCGGGACAAAATCGGATCGGGATAACTCGAAATCTCTGAGAATCGGCGGGTTTGGAGGATGTATTGGGCGCCGCGGCCGCTCCAGAGCGTTCCGGAACGCTCTGAGAGCGCTCCGGAACGCTCTGGAGCGATTTATCCCGATCCTAGCCCTGTTTTAGTGGGTGGGGCGGCGGCGGGAGACGTCGAGCAGCACCCTGAGGGCGGGGCATATCGCCTCGAGATCCTGGTCAGAGCGCACCCCGGATACGTCTGGGGAGCAGCTGTGTCGGAACCTGCCCAGACGCGCGAAAAAGCTCTTGCCCCCCGATGTGCGACCCCAGAGGGCCCCACCCCTTCCCTGGGATAGTTGGCACCGAGGCCCGGTTGAGGTCGTGCCCCTTGTCGGACCCCGGCTGACTGGCGAGCGAGAGCTCCACGGGCCTTTCACGTCGAGTCCTGCAGTCCCAGGGGGGGAACTGGCCCTCACTTTCTGTTCTGTGTCTGGGAAAGCTGCCACATATGTGGACCACCAGTGGATTGACATGGAGTTGGAGATGCTGCGGTCGGTTTTTCATGGGAGCGCGCAAGTTTCTGCCAGATCGGGGGCCCCAGAGGGTCCCCAGATCCTCGTGATCTTCCGTCTCGCCCCTGCGAGTAGCGCGGGATTCATCAATTGCTGCGCGCGCGAATTTCGTTTCGCAGTGCAGGCCCTCACCGAAAGGACTCCATAAGTTGGGGAATAAGAAATCGTGATGGTGGGTGCTCCAACCATTCAATCTTCCTACTCATGTCAAAAAGGCAAGAGTCTCCGCCTGAGCCCCACTGGCCAGGCTTTTCTTGCTACTGCTTCTGACTCCCGTCGTCATTCATCCGCAACGCCTCTCCTCCCCCTCCTGTTCTTTCGCCCTCCCCACCTCCTGAGTAGACATCCGACGTTGCACATTGCTTGACACAACGCGGCTCCCCAGAGGTCTAGACCACATCCCCAGGGCCGGTTTTGCCTCTCGAGTAGTTGTTTGACGACCTGGGTGGCGGTGGTTCTGGATAATTCCTGCCTCGGATCTGCATCCTTCTTGTCTCGGTGGCGCGCCTGGGGGGGAAGTGACAAGGAGAAGGCCTTCTCAGAAGGTGACGGGGCTTCTCAGAAGCCCTCGCGCCTTCTGAGAAGTTTCCTATGTCTTCGGGGAAGGCTTGGACAACTTCTCAGAAGGCCCGAGGCCTTCCGAGCCTTCTGAAAAGGTCCGCTCCTTCTCACTTCCGCCCCCCAGGCTCGCCGCCGATTGTCTCCCCCCTCCCTCTCCTCCCCCCCTCCCCCGCCCGCAGGGTTGTCGCCTCGGACGGCGGAGTCGGTGCCCCGGCGCCAGCACGCGGAGCAGCCTTTCGCCTGGCGCCTTGGCGCGCTTGCGCGCCGCCGTCCTGCGCCAAGCGGGCGAGTCTCACCGTTGTTGCGGCACTGGCCGCCGCGAGTGTCAGGGGCAACGCCAGGGTGGGGGATCTGATCAGGGGGGGAGGCGTCGACCCCCAATCGCCCATGCATCGCCGATAGGGGGCTGGATGGCCCGCCCCGCCCACGGGGGCCGTTCGCCGATCCTTCGGCGATGTGTGGCCGATTCGGGCTGGATGCTGCTGCCCCTGAGCCGGTTCCCGCCCCCGACCGCTGCCACTCAGGATGAGACTGGTCGGCGTGCCGCGCCGAGGCAGCAGCCACCTGCGGCAGCTCACTGTTTTCTTAAGCGTGACCAGTGCACGGGAGGTGGGGGGTGATAAAGCCGCGGCGCGTGATCAGAGCGCATTGCTGCAGACGCTCCAGACGTTCTCCCTCCCACCCTCCCCGCAGCATTTTAAGCGCCGCCCCACGCTGAAACAGCCCTACCCGATCGATACAGCAGTCGCAATGCGAGCTGCCTGCGCCGTGCTTGCCGTTGAGTCCCTTGTCGTCACGCCGAAGGATAGATGGAGGGAGGGAGGGCAGGTGGCAATGCGCTCACAGAGAGCACATTCTCTGTTCACTGAAAGGAAACTTGTTTGAAGGCGCACATTTTTGCCTTCAGCAACAATGAGATTGTTTGCCCTCGGCCAGTCAACAAAAGAATTTAGCACGTTGCGCTTGCAGGGAGCTCATTGCAGAAATCCGCGCCTCTGGCACAACTGCCGCTCAAGATCGGTCCCAGGACCCCTCCCGAGGCTCAAACGCACGGGTGTTTCGAGCTGCGCCCAGCCGTGGCGACGACGAGGGCTTCCGAAGGCCAAAGAGCCTTACAGCCTCGCCTCGAGGTTCGAGCCTCGTGCTCTTCCGGGTGCCCTCCCGCCCTCGTGCCCGCCTCGGTGGCGCCGGCGCGAGGCCGCGGCGGAGCCAGAGCCTCCCGCGGCGCCGCAGCCCCCCGCCGCGGGCCACAGGCCGGCCTCCAGGCGGCGAGGGGGCCCGTTGGGCTCGAGGGCGTCGTCGCCGCCCCCCGACCCCCGGCGCCTCGAAAAATTCGAGACGGGGGTTCCTCATTCACCACCCGCCAAACCACCCCAGCCCAACCCGAAGGCCTCAAATTGACCTCCATTTCCAGTGGGGGGGGGGGGTCGGGGAACATCGAGCAAGTACAGATGGAACCCGTGCCCCCCCAACCCGAAATGTTTTCGGGTCTTCGGGTTGGGTTGGGGTGGTCTGGTAGGTAGTCATTCATAGTGTCAGGCCCCTCGGGGCCCTCACCGGGCCTCGGGGCCGCCAAGAAACGGCCCAGGATGACAGGCCAGTCCTGGGGAAGCGAATCGAGAGATCGGGGGGCCCTGTCTCCAAAAGTCGAGACGCCGGATGTTTGGGTTGTCGTCGTCGTGTCCGTCGTCGTCGTCGTCATCGTCGCCGTCGTCGTTGTTGTCGTCGTTCGCTGGCCCAGGGACTGTCGAAAAACGGCCCCGGATGAAAAGCCGATCCCGTAGAATGGGTCCAGCCCTCTGGGGGTCCGCGTTGTCGAAGAGTCATGACGTCGAAATTTGGGGGTGGAGGAGGGGAAAGATCAGTGGCAACGTGAGGGGGGGGTAGGCTCAGGAGGGGAAGCATCGGCTCCCAATCGCCCGTTGATCGCCGATAGGGGGCTTCGTATCCCGCCCGCCCAGGACCATGCGGTTGCGCCGATACCAGGCTGTACCCTTCCACCTTTCTAGCCAGTCCCTCATTCTATCGTCCTCCCTCGGAGGGGGAGGAGAAGGAGAAAACTCTAAAGCTGTAGCTGGGTGGTTTGCGTTGAAAACAGGAAGAAGAGCGGGAGGAGGAGAGGGAGGAGGAGGAGGAGGAGGAGGAGGAGGAAATGGAGGAGGAAATGGAGATGGAGGAGGAGGAGGAGGATATGGAGGAGGAGGAGGAGGAAGAGGAAAAGGAGGAGGTGTTCAAGCATGCAGTAGCAACTGGGGAGGATGGGTGGATGCCAGCGTGTGCGTTTAACGCAACAATGTGGCTCAAGCCTTTGACGTTCGGAAGTCTGACTTATCCGAGCGTCGCACTACTACGCTGAATCCTCCGGGATATTTCACATGATAGCGGAGCGTCGGTGGCCATGGCAGGATCCGGATCGCCTTTGCCCCAGGCCCGCAAGACCCACCAGTTGAACTCCGCGTACCTGCGGACCGAGAGGCTTGGATCAAATTGGCTCCCCAGGGGTTTATGGATTTGTGTATACCATCAACAGTTGATGGCAACTTCGACTATGTGAAGACAGCGCTGCGCGCCACCCATGAAGGACTCACAGACTTCATTAACGACCGCATCTTCACGAACAGCAAGGAGGTTACCCCACAAGACGTCTTCGAGATGCTGCATACGCAGCAGAAGATGAAAGCCGTGCTGATGAGTATTGTTGACCGAAATTCAGTGGTGGAGCAAGGAGCACGCAGTCTTTGCCGACAGGTCGGGAGCAGGGTGGCGAACACGAATACAAACGGGAACATGTTGAGGGATATCCCACTGTTGAGTGACGCCTTTAACAACATAGAAGGAACATAAGGAAACTCAAAGGATTTCCGGACGGATTTGGACTTGCCACATACCAGAAAATTCCGAATTCATATTCGGCAGTCACAGGAGTTATGCTGACACAAAAGATATCACAGGCACAACCAGTCTTGCATAGTGCGCGATGTTCTCGCGAGGTTGTAGTCGCGGTAAGGGTCTCCCGGTCTCCCGTAGCCGTAGTTCTTGTCAGAGTTGGCAATTTGGGGGTCGGCGTCGGGATGCATCGCGGGCTCTGCGGCCGCCATCGCCAGCGGGCTTGGGCGCCACCCGTTCGCCCTATGTTGCGGGGGCGGGCTTGGATGCGGGGGGATGCCCCGCAGGCGCCTTGAGCCAGCATGGCTACGGATCCCCCCTACTCCTCCTGCTCCTGCCTCCCTCCCTCCCTTGACCTCCTCCTTCTCGATCCTCCTACTCCTTGATGTTCCTCCTCCTCTTCGATTCTCCGCGGCCCTCCTCGATCTCCTGCTCCTGCCTCCCTCGTCCCCTCCCTCCTCCTGCCTCCCTTGACCTCTCCTCCCGCGGCCCGCGGCCCAGGCCTCCGGCGGGGCCGGGCGCGGCCGCCGCGGCCGCGTCGGGACCTGCGCGCGGGGGGATGGGGGGGTTCGAGCTGGGGGGGCAGGGGCAGGGGAGGAGGGGTGGGGAGGACGAGGACGTGGAGGACAGGGATGATGAGGGGCACGAGGACGAGGAGCAGGAGGAGAGCGACGGCGACGGCGAGGGGCCGCCTTGAATTACAAGGGGGGTTCGAGCCGTCTCCCCCTCCCCCCTCCCCCTCCAGGGGAGGGGGGGGAATCGAACGGGAGGCGGGGTCGAACCGGTGGTGGGGTCGGGACGGGGCGTCGAACCAGGGGGGGGGGGGGGGAATTGCAAGGGGGGGTTCGTTCCCCTCAAGGGAGGGAAGGGATGGGGTTCGCAAGAGAGGGATGGGGGGGTCGAACCAGCGGGGTGGCAGCGGCTGCCACTTGGCGAGCCTGCTGGCATCCGCGGAGGAGGCCCGAGGGGGAGATGGGGAGATGGGGAGGGGGGGGGGAGGAGGAGGAGGAGGAGGAGGAGGAGGAGGAGGAGGAGGAGGAGGAGGAGGAGGAGGAGGAGGAGGAGGAGGCAAGAAGGGTCCTTTCTGATGGGCACCCCCTGGTGCTTTTCGGCTGGACTGCCCGACATCGCCCTCTCTTCTCTCCCTCCGCGACGCGCGACTCTCCCCGTGCCCCTGCCTCCCCGTCTGGCGGCTCAGGTTGCGTGTCGCGCTATTCCTGCCCTCCCCTCCTCTCCGCGGCGTCTCGGCTTCTCGCTCGCCCCGCTTTGTTTCGCTGTCGTTGATCACCCCGCGTTGCTTTGCCGGCCTGGTCCGACAAAAGTGTTGCGCGGTCGGGGCTGCTGCGCCGGCGAATCGCCGGGCGCGCCCCCCGGAAGCTCTGAGAGATACTCGCGCTCTTCCCGTTGGGATCCCCGCCGCCGGGGCACTCAGATCATCATAACGGAACAGAGCAGGAGACACTTTGGACACTTTGGACTTCATAAAATAACAGAACAGAGCATTGGGGAACCCATGCCGGTCGACACTTCGGACACTCTGCTCGCTGCTGCGCGGTCCGTCGCCGATGCGCCGCGCGAGTGCGCTGTGTGCAGAGCAGGAGTGTTCAAAAATAGCGTGCGTGATCCCAAACGCTCTAGGGATCGTGGGAAGCTCTCGAATGTTGCTGGCGCCTCCGGGGAAGGGTTAGGAGGAGAACGGAGGACGGAGAAGTGATGTGGAACAGTTGTTATGGCCTGAAAACATCGCCACGCGCCATGATGGAAACTGCTTCGGGATGGTTTCCCCGTGGTCAAGTGTTTCATTCTGCGTGTTTTTCTGCTCCAGGGCCCCGTGGAGGGTCCCATGGGTCCCCAAACGACGGCGATGATGAGAAAAGGGGACATCAGTGCCTCCAGATCCTGTTCCCCAGGGGTCCATGGAAGCGCCCGGAGCCCTCCAGAGGCCCCCACGCAGAGCCTCGACGAGGGCCAGAAGCGTCAGAGAGTTCCCCCCCGACCCTCGAGGGTCGAGGCCAAGACTCAGCAGCGGTGCCCCCTCCCGACGGCTGACTGCCAGGAGTGGCCTTGGCCCACGGCCCCCCCCCACAAGGCCCGGAAGGCCCCAAGGGCTCCAGGATTTTTGCGGAAGGCTGGGAACAGCTTGTCAGGAGCAGCTGGGGGCGGGGATGGCCCAGAGGAGAACGCATCGACCCCCCATCGCCCATTCATCGCCGATGGTGGCCTGATAGCACGCCCCGCCGTGGACCGTGCTCATTCGCTCTCAGAGGCCTTTCGCCGTTCTGCCGATCTATCGGCGATCCGTCGCCGATTCCAGGTCGATGCTTCCCCCCCCCCTGATGCGGCCCCTCCCTATCGTTCCCCCGCACCTGGGGCCAGAACCCTGAGATCCGAAGTCGCGATATCACTGCAACATCACGAAACATCACGGCCGGAGCCCTGCGCCCCATCTCTCTGCGGCACTCCGCCAGCTGGATTGATCTGCGATGGTCCTATGGGGCCCGACGCCGGGCGAAGACGCCCGGTGTGGAAACAGAGGAAATTCCCGGATCCTGGAGCAGAGAGGCTGAGACAGCGGCAGCTCAAGATCGGTCCCCGGGCCCGTCCCGCGGTCCCAAGGCACCAGTCTTCTGAGCTGCGTCCAGCCGTGGAGACGAAGAGAGGCCCCCGGAGGCCAGACAGCCTCGAGCCTCGCCGCCTCCTCGAGGCTCGAAGCAGGAGGAGGCGAGGTCCGAGGCAACCTCTGCCCCCCCTCCCCCCCCGAAGGAGCAGCCGTCCTCCTCAAGGGCGGCACTCTCCCCAGGGGGCTGGACCCGCTCAGCGCGCTCGCCTCGCAGCGGCAGCCGCCAGAGGCGACCTCCGCCCCCCCCCCCCCCCCCCCAGCTGCAGGGGCACCTGCGGCAACTGCGTGCGGGGACCCCGCATTAGAAACAACCAAAACATATGAAAAACAAGACATCGGCTCTCTGGGATACGGCAAATCAAAACATCGGGTCAAATACCCGGCGGTATGATTCTCCCACCCCAGGGATCCGAGGCTCAGAACAAACTGGAGCGGCCGGTTTTTGGTAATTTTCGGTCCCTGGGGGCCCCAACGGGCCCCAGGAGTGTCAACAAATGTTCCAGGAAGAAAACGTGGCTGTCCAGACCTCCAGGGGTTTACGCAATGGAAGGGTTGGAGCTCCGGATGTCTGGGCCACATCCTAAATGAGGTTCTTGCTTCCCAGAACATCATCTCTCTCCGTCCTCATTCCTTTCTTCTTTGTCTCCGTCTCCGTCTTCTTCTTCTTCTTCTCATCCTCCTCCTCCTTCCCATCCTTCCTCCTCCTCCCCCTCCTCATGCATGCAGCTTCATTCCCCATATCATGAGTGTCCCATCCTTTCTCTTCCTCCCCCTCCTGCATGCAGCTTCATTCCCCACATCCTGAGTGAGCTTCTTGTTCTTTGCCCACACTCTGAGTGGTGTTCTTGCTCCAATCCGTGCGCCTTTCCTCCATTTCGGCCTCAAGGGGCATTCTCTGGGGGCCAGTATCGGGCCCTTGGGCCATCGCAAGTGCAGCTGGGACGAAGAACTGCACCCAGGGGGGCGGTCGGCACCTCTGGGGCCGCGGATTGAAGACGTCTCGCCGGCGGATGTCAGGAGACGTGGCCGTGACCCCGCCGCGGGCGTTCATGGGTGAGTGCGGCCAGTGACCAGAATCGGCCCAAATGAGATGACCTCTGGCGATCGGGAAGCCGCCGATCGTTAGAAGCTGAGTGATTCATTTGGTGTCAGAGACCAGCGGCAGAGTCGTCACGACACGAACCTGCCGCATCCAGACCGCCGTTGCCTCGCGGGGCAGCCGTGGCGGAAGGTCTTCGAAACTGCTACTCGGCTCTCCGCGGTCGCCCTGCCTCGGGGTCCGCTGCAGCAGCTGCGCCTCGCACGAGAGCGTCGTGGTGGTGCCCGCGTCGACCCACTCGGCCGCTGGAGGGTGGGGCCCGGAAGCAGACATCCAACCCAGAACGCCGACCTCGCGTCGCAGAAGATGCTCGGAGGAGGGAGTGCCAAGCCTACGGCAAGCTTCCCCTGGCGGGTTGTTCCTGTTGGTTGCGACATCCTGGAGGCTTTGCGTCGTCACGAAGAACGGGTCAGGAAGGAACCCCGTCAGGGGACTGGAGACCAGTTTTGAGAGTAGATGTGTTCGGGGAAGTCACGACGGTGGGTTGTTGTCGAAGGTGAGTCATCGGCATAAGCACGCCCAGCTCCGAACCAAGAAGTCCGCGCGGACCCCAGATCAATATCCTTATGCGTATTGCTGCTCCTGTTTATCCAGCTGCCTGCAGCAAGTCCCGCCACCGTGCTAGCCCAGCATTCCGGGTGGCGACTGTTCGAGGGGTCACAGGAGGTCGTCACGTGTGTCACTTCGTGCTTCCAAGTTTGGTAGAGCCGCGATGAGGATGATGAGGATGATGAGGATGATGATGAGGATGATGATGATGATGATGCTGATGATGATGATGATGACGAGGAGGAGGAGGAGGGGGAGGAGAAGGAGCAGGAGGAGGAAGAGGCAGGCCGTCACAAGTGACACATGTTGTTCTTGACGAGCTCTCATGGAGCTCACTTGCGCCGTCTTGGGGCTGTCTTGGCCTCCTGTGGGGCAGTTTGGGGGGTCCCTTGAGGTCGTCTCGGAGCCCGTCTCGGAGCCCTCTTAGGTCGTCTTGGGGCTATCTTGGGCCGTCGTGGACCCTCGTGGCCGTATAGTGAGTGTCTTGGGGCCGTATAGGGGGTGTCTTGGGGCCGTCTTGGGGCCGTCTTGGGCCGTGGAAGGGTCTTTAAGGCCGTCTTGTGTCCCTCCCTCCAGATTCCCTCTTAGGCTGTCTTGGATGCCTCGTGGGCCATCGCGGGTCCTCTTGGGCCACCTCGGGACCTTCTGGGGGGCCTCTTGGGTAGTCTTGGGGCCATCGTGGAGGCTTCTCGGGCCGTCTTGAGCTGGCAGAAGCCCGAAAAGGAGAGAATGCGAACATCATTTACAACCCAGTTGGGGGGTCCTCGTGGACTTCTTGGGTCTTCTTGGAGGAGTCTTGGGCAATTTTGAGGCCATCTTGGGCCGACTTGGGGCCATCTTGGGCCGTCTTCGAGGCATCTTGTGTCATTTTGGCGACTTTGGTTGCCTTCCTGGGCCGTCTTGGAATCTATGAAAGAGCGCGTTCTGTGGTCGCTTGGAGGGGGGAATGAGGTTGGAACCGGACCCCCCCCCGCTTCCGTGACGGAGGCGGGGGGGGTTCGAACCCTCCCCCCCTACTTCTCCTCTCTCGCTCTCCTCGGGCCAGCGCCTGCGGCGGCGGCAGCTGGCGGCGGCGGCGGCGGGGACGACGATTTCCTTTTCTGGGCCGGCGCCGCGCCTGCGGCGGCGGGCGGCGGCGGCGGGGAGCGTCGACGAGGACGACGGTGGTAGTGGTGGTGGTGGTGGTGGTGGTGGTGGTGGTGGTGGTGGTGGTGGTGGTGGTGGTGGTGGTGGTGTGGTGGTGGTGGTGGTGGTGGTGGTGGTGGTGGTTGTGGTGGTGGTGTGGTGGTGGTGGTGTGGTGGGTGGTGGTGGTGGTGGGTGGTGGTGGTGATGCTGGTTTGGTGGTGGGTGTGGTGGTGGTTTGTGGTGGTGGTGGGGGTGGTGGCGGGTTGTGGTGGTGGTAGTGGTGGTTTGGTGGTGGTTTGTGGTGGTGGTGGTTTGTGGTGGTGGTGGGTTGTGGTGGTGGCGGTGGTTTGTGGAGGTGGTGCTGGTGGTTGTGGTGGCGGTGGTGGTGGTGGTGGTGGTGGCGGTAGTGGTGGTGGGTTTTTGTGGTGGTGGTTGTGATGGTGAGTTGTGGTTGTGGTGGTTGTGGTGGTGGTGGTGGCTGTTGTGGTGGTTGTTGTGTGGTGGGTTGTTGGTGGTGGTGGTGGGTTGAGGCGGTGGTGGTGGTGGTAGTGGTGGTGGTAGTGGTGGTGGTAGTGGTGGTTATCGTCGCTGCGTCCCCCCCGTCGCCGGCGTCACCGCCGGCGCCGGCGCCATGGGGGGGGGAGGGGGTGAAACCCTTCCCCCCCCCAGGCGCGAGAGGGGTGTGGGGGGTTTTAACCCCCCCCCTCCCCCCTTGGGCTGCCTCTGGTGATCGTCGCTGCGTCCCCGCCGTCGGCGGTGCTGGCAGCCGCCGGCGCCGAACCCCCTCCCCCTCCTTGGGAGGGCCTTGGGAGGGGGGGGGGTTCGGGATGGGGGAGGTTTGGGGGGGAGGGGAGTCCCCCTGGTTTTGATCGACGGCGCCGAGTGTTGGGGGGGGCCCACCTTCTGGTTCGAAACGCGCCGCCGAATGTTCCCAAGGCAAGCGCCCGTGAAACGCGTTTTCTCGAATCTACGGACGCGGATCCGCTTCTTACGACGGCAGCCTCGGGAGCGCGGATCCGTAGTTCTCCACATGTTTCGTGGGGTTTTGGTTTTCTTCCCTGCCGCGTCGCACCCGCGTCTCACGCACACACTTCCCTCTCCCGCAAAGCGTGGCTGACGTGACATACATACATACATACATACATACATACATACATACATACATACATACATACATACATACATACATACATACACTGGCACACCAGCACATACACATACACATACACAGACACACACACACAGACACAAACACATGCACACATACACTCCTCACCCACGCGCAACACCTGCACGGCACGTACATGAGGCACGCGTAGCACACTTCACAACACAGCGCAGCGCAGCACAACACAGCGCTGCTCAGCACAGCTCAGCTCGGCACAGCACAGCACAGCACAGCTCAGCACAGCAGAGCACAGCGCACATGACATTCTAGCGTGTCGTCCAGGGCATAGCAGGAGTTGCACTTTCTCGACACTGGAGGGGGTGCGCAGGGGGTGGTCCCTGAGCGCGGCCGCTAGCCGAGCCGGTTGTCCAGGGCAAGGCAGGATAGCACTTTCTCGACACCGTAGGGGGTGCGAAGGAGGTGGTCCCTGAGCGCGGCCGCTATCCGAGCCGGTCGTCCAGGGCATAGCAGGAGTGGCACTTTCCCGACACCATAGGGGGTGCGCAGGGAGTGGTCCCTCAGCGCGGCCGCTATGCACGACGGTCGTCCAAGGCATAGCAGGAGTGGCACTTTTCCGACACCGTAGGGGGTGCGCAGGGGGTGGTCCCTGAGCGCGGCCGCTATCCGAGCCGGTCGTCCAGGGCATAGCAGGAGTGGCACTTTCCCGACACCGTAGGGGGTGCGCAGGGGGTGGTCCCTGAGCGCGGCCGCTATCCGAGCCGGTCGTCCAGGGCATAGCAGGAGTGGCACTTTTCCGACACCGTAGGGGGTGCGCAGGAGTTGGTCCCTGAGCGCGGCTGCTATCCGAGCCGGTTGTCCAGGGCAAGGCAGGATAGCACTTTCTCGACACCGTAGGGGGTGCGAAGGAGGTGGTCCCTGAGCGCGGCCGCTATCCGAGCCGGTCGTCCAGGGCATAGCAGGAGTGGCACTTTCCCGACACCATAGGGGGTGCGCAGGGAGTGGTCCCTCAGCGCGGCCGCTATGCACGACGGTCGTCCAAGGCATAGCAGGAGTGGCACTTTTCCGACACCGTAGGGGGTGCGCAGGGGGTGGTCCCTGAGCGCGGCCGCTATCCGAGCCGGTCGTCCAGGGCATAGCAGGAGTGGCACTTTCCCGACACCGTAGGGGGTGCGCAGGGGGTGGTCCCTGAGCGCGGCCGCTATCCGAGCCGGTCGTCCAGGGCATAGCAGGAGTGGCACTTTCCCGACACCGTAGGGGGTGCGCAGGAGGTGGTCCCTGAGCGCAGCCGCTATCCGAGCCGGTCGTCCAGGGCATAGCAGGAGCGGC